ATAGCTGACATGACAGTGGCAGTAAGACACATGTGCAACATCTGGGTATCTTTATTGTAGACGTTCGCAAGGTGCTGTGCACTACTCTAGGTTGAGGGAGTTGATTAACTCATTTTGTAATAGTTACTGTCTTCATAGTTATGTCCTGGAATTTGTATTGAATAGCACTGGATGCGAAAGTTACATAAAGATACAGATGTTGCACATGTGTCTATTTATCTTGTCGGTATTATATACCATTCGTCACAACTTGTCAGACACTGACATATGGAATCTTAATAGGATGTACATACTTCACGACTAGACATTACTACTACAACATCCATCTTTGGGACGGACTACTTCACTGGGGAATCCGCAACAGTGAATTGCTCGTCGCTTCACTGCGTTACTATATAGCGCAGGATTCTTTCTTTGCTTCAGATCTCCACGCTATGGTGCTGTTGCACCTACCTAGGTTGAGGACTGATTACCTCATCTTTGTACTTTCTATGTTCAAGTTATGTCCTGGAATTGTTGATAAGCCACGGATGGCGAAACGTTACAATAGATCCCGATGTTGCACAGTGTCTTACCTATTGTCGGATTTATACCATTCGTACACACAGACAGTGGCAATAGTGACACTAGTAGACACACAGGTCGCAGCAAGTGTATTCGCGGGGAGTGTTAACAGTGTTAGTTACAAATACTAGCTGGCCTTGTATAATCGATGCCTGTTGTTTAAAGTGGAGAGACATGATGTATGTTTCGCCAGATATGTTGGGGAGCCAGAGGATGGACATCAATGGAGTCAGGCTTAACATCAATGGGAATCAGGGTGGACGTCAACATGAGTCAGGGTGAACGTCAACATGAATCAGGGTGGACGTCAACATGAGTCAGGGTGAACGTCAGCATGAGTCAGGGTGGACGTCAACATGAGTCAGGGTGAACGTCAGCATGAGTCAGGGTGAACGTCAACATGAGTCAGGGTGAACGTCAAAATGAATCAGGGTGGACGTCAACATGAGTCAGGGTGAACGTCAGCATGAGTCAGGGTGGACATCCTCACAGAGAGGGCAATTATGTTTGAGTGACAGTTGAGTGTAAACAGAGAGTGAACTGGATCTCTGGTGGCGTGTAAGACTACACACACACACACACGCCAGAAGATGATAAAGATAAAATGAAGGAGAAGGACGAGGAGGAGGAGGAGAAATAGAAGGTCATCAAGAACAAGAACAACAACAAACGTTCTTCAGAATAAAAACCCAATAAACTCAAACTATGTACCTTAGGTCCTCGTCCCCAGGATGCACACCACACCAGTCGACTACACCCTAGGCACCTACTTCCTGCTAGGTGAGCAGGGCCAGCAGCTGTACCGTCCACACGTCTCACCTAGACTGAGGATTGATCCCAAGTCCTTGAGGCTGTGAGGTCACCCTTATAACATTGACCTAAAAGTTAGCATAATGGCGTCTCTCTGTATGTCCCTTAAGGGTTTAAAGCTTTCTCAGTGGAAATAAGTCACTTGGACTTTTTGGGGGGTTATCCTAGGTACCTGTACCTAAATAAACTTACCTATTGTGGTGCCCCTGCTACCCACATCCATACACGTGCACCAGCCCCTCCCCTCCCGTACGTGCACCATCCCCCCTCCCCTCCCACTGGTGCACCATCCTCTCCCCTCCTTATCGTGCACCATCCCCACAGCACTCCCACACAGTGGCCGTGTTGTGGGGAGGAATTAAGTAGATGCAACAATGAAAGATGTGAGTCTGACCAGCACACCCTTCACTATGGATCACAGACCGCGCCGCCGGGATCACCATACGGAGGGTCGAGCCCCCAGCAGTCCCTGCGTCGTATGGACAAGAAATGTATTTCGGTCACTGCGCGACTCGGAGAAGCTGCCTCCTGTATTGTAAAACCCCAGCTTCCTCTGTATCTCCAAACACGAGGCAGGAATAGTGCAGAGTGCGGCACAAGCTGATAATGCAGTTAAATATTAACGTTGAAAATTTGAAGGGAATCAGAAGAGGGATTCACAAGTCATCACATGGAAACTGATGACCCAATTTCTCCCATAAAAAAAAAGACAAGCGCAAATCTAATTTTAGCTTTCCACTAAGGAAGACCAACTTCGAAGCTAAACAGAAGAGGCATTCCCTTGTTATCTCAGATGCTTTATCAACTTATCAGCCTTGAAAGTTTGAAGCCAATAGGATGACACACTCAGTAATTATCGAATGAAAAGCACACTTCAATAGCCTCGGTTCCTTACATAAAAAAAAAGTCAAAATGGGACCTAGATATGCAAAAAAAAAAAAATATTTTCTTCAAAAAAGATTGGCCAGCGTTTGAGGTTTAATTAAGTTTTATTTCAGATTTGGGTGAATAATACATTATTTTTGATAGTGGTGAAGAGACACATAATACATTATTTTTAATAGTGGTGAAGAGACACATAGATGTTATAGACACATAAAAGTACATTACACTGATTGAACTTGGGGTGACCCAGTAAAGTCAAACACTACGACTTATCTCTGATAAGTAACATTGTTCAGTTAGTTAACAGAACCTAATTTGATTAACAAAATTAGCATATTAAAGCATACTCTACATACTCTACTTAAGGTATTCACTATATACACTGCTAGATGAACAGGTATACTCCAGGTATACTCTTCAGGTATACATAAAATGAAGACGAAGCTTTTCTTGGGGAAAACACATCAATACTAAAAGTTTCAAGCTGAGCCGAAGATGCATTCGCCAGTTATTTCACACAATCCAACATAACTTGCACCTTCACAACCCAGCAAACTTTTCATCCATTGATACGTTGAATCAGTCATTATAGATTGATGCTAGTGAGAATTTTCTTTTCTTTTAATCAATAGAAAGGGCTAAATCTGTATGGAGAGGCATTCAGATTTGAAAAAGTAAGGGGAAGGCTAAGTTCAGTTCCCTGGATCGAGAGCCTTTCATCAGCATTAAGTAGGACCGGCCAGCAGTAACAGCACGGTTGATTAAGCTCTGATCCACCGCCAGGCCTGGCCACAGACCGAGTCGCGGGGGCGTTGACCCCTGGAACACCCTCCAGGTATTAAATCCACTTCTCAGACCAAAGCACAAGAAATCGTACCTTTCCCAGTACTGATCCTTGTGGAACCCCACTGGTCACATGTCCCCATTTCGACGCCTCATCTCAGACAACCACTCGTTGTAAAGTAAAAGGACACAAGTGCAACTAATGTGACATTTTATTGTGGCAACGTTTCGCTCTCCAGGAGCTTTTTTAAGCCATTACGGCTTGACAAAGCTCCTGGAGAGCGAAACGTTGCCACAATAAAATGTCACATTAGTTGCACTTGTGTCCTTTTACTTTACATATTGTCGGTAATTCTACTAACATTATTACAACCACTCGTTGCTTCTTTCCTGTTAAGCATTCCCTGATCCATCGTAGTGCCTTCCCTGTTATTCCTGCCTGCTCCTCTAGCTCTTGTCCCAGTCTCTTGTGCGGTACTGTGTCAAAAACCTTCTTTCAATCCAAAAATATAAAATCTACTCTCTCTCTCTCTCTCTCTCTCTCTCTCTCTCTCTCTCTCTCTCTCTCTCTCTCTCTCTCTCTCTCTCTCTCTCTCTCTCTCTCTCTCTCTCTCTCTCTCTCTCTCTCTCTCTCTCTCTCTCTCTCTCTCTCTCTCTCTCTCTCTCTCTCTCTCTCGTAAAACTCTAGTAGGTTTGTGAGACAGGATTTACCATCTGCAAAGCCGTGTTGGTTGTCATGTATATCCCACTCCTTTCTAGGTGCTCCACTACTCTCCTGATAATCTTCTCCATGACTTTCCATACTGTACATGTCAGTGTCACTGGTCTGTAGTTTAGTGCTGCCTGTCTGTCTCCTTTCTTAAATATTGATGATATATTTGTTGCCTTGCAAACCTCTGGTAGTTGCCCTGTGTCCATTGACTTGGTGTGTGTACTCACCTAGTTATACTCACTTAGTTGTGGTTGCGAGAGTTGAGTTACAGCTCTTGGCCCCCCCTCTTCAACTGGCCGCAACTCAGTCACTCTTCCCGCTCCGTGAGCTTTATCATACCTCTTCTTAAAGCTATGTATGGATCCTGCCTCCACTGCATCACTACCCAGGCTATTCCACTTCCTGACAACTCTGTGACTGAAGAAATACTTCCTTACATCCCTGTGGTTCATCTGAGTCTTCAACTTCCAACCGTGACTCCTTGTTGCTGTGTCCCATCTCTGGAACATCCTGTCTCTGTCCACCTTGTCTATACCTCTCAGTATTTTATATGTCGTTATCATATCCCCCCTATCTCTCCTGTCTTCCAGTGTCGTGTGTGTGTGTGTACTCACATATATGAGGCTGCAGGGGTCGATTCACAGCTCCTGGTTCTCTTGTTGTGTGTGTGTGTGTGTGTGTGTGTGTGTGTGTGTGTGTGTGTGTGTGTGCACGGGTGCGTGTATATGTACATGTACAAGTGAAAATATATGTACACATGTGCCTATATGTATACCTGACCAAATATTTTCTTCCTCACATGCATACTCACGCACACGTCTGCACATTTACACGTGTGTGTACACCCTTACCTATGATTACACTCTCAGTTGAGTGTACAGCACCTTTCTGTATACTTCTGTTCCTTGGCAAGTTTTGCACTTGAAGTCTGTCGACTGTACGAGGGTGGTTAAGACTGCATTTCAACTGTCCCCCGCCAGTCAAGAACAGATTAATCTTTAAATTAGGAGATTAATAAACTTCTCGGTGCCTATACACAGAGATATACAAAATATCATACGTCTTAGTATATATACACTGAGATATTCGCTGAGTGATACACATTTTTTCCGTGTATGTTCACATAGATACATCTCTCAGTATATATACATTCATTGGCTGGTAATTAACTCTTCTTTAAGTTTGTTGGTGGTTATCAATGTATGGAGTCTGAGGCACGAACGAGAGAGAGAGAGTTTTAACTCACCCGATGGGTGTTACCAGCCTGGTGATGGATGCTGGTGGCTGCTCGGATGTTTGTGGTAGCCAGGATATAGATGTAGCGGGTATTGGGTATAGGGTAGCAGAGGTGAGAAGTGAGGTTTGGCACGTGTACCCTCCACCATGCGACAGCACACACTGCCACCATCATATTAGCTAGCTAGTGTCGACCTCCCTGCCCCATACCCAGGCACCCTCACTCACTGCCATGTCTCGTCTCTTCCTTCGTGCCCCCTTCCGTCTGGTGTTGTACATTTATTTAGGTACAGGTACACATAAATACAATTATCATACATAGTAACACATGGTTAACAATCCGAAAACGGGCGAAATTATTTACAGTCTACGGCAGGACTCCAACCTGCAAACTCAGCAGATGCCGAGTTTGCAGATTCGAATCCTGTTGTGGACAAGAGATTAATTGAGCTGTATATTTCGATCCCAGAAGGGAGTCAAAATATACAGATCAATTAATCTTCTGAGTTTCTGTCTCCTTCTGGGTTATTATTAAGCACAGTAACAGACGTGTAAATTACGTAGGATAAACCCAAAAATCTCAGACAAAGTGACTTATTTCAATTGGGGTCCTCGAGTACCCCAGTTGACGTACCCCTCATCTCCGGGACTAGTCTTGTTGCAAACCTTTGCACTTTATTTAATTTCTTGATGTGTTTGACCAGGTGTGGGTTCCACACTGGTGCCGCATACTCCAATATGGGCCTGACGTACACAGTGTACAGTGTCTTGAATGATTCCTTACATAGATGTCGAAACGCTATTCTCAGGTTTGCCAGGCGCCAGTATGCTGCAGTAGTTATTTGGTTGATGTGCGCCATTGGAGATGTGCTCGTTATGATGCTCATTCCAAGATCATTTTCCTTAAGTGAGTTTTACAGCCTTTGACCTCTTAGGCTGTACTCCGTCTTCGGTCTTCTTTGTCCTTCCTCAAGCTTCATAACTTTACACTTGCTGGGGTTGAACTCCAGGAGCCATTTGTCGGACCAGGCTTGCAGCCTGTCCAGATCCCCTTGTAGGCTTACCTGATCCTCATCCACTTGTATTCCCCCCATTAGCTTCATATCGTCTGCGAACAGAGACATCTGTGAATCTATCCCTTCCGTCATGTCATTCACATACACCAGAAACAGCACCGAACCTAGGACTGACCCTTGTGGGACCCACTCAAGACATGAACCCACTCTGACACCTCTTCAAGTGCCAACACACCTTGTTTCCTTCCTATCAGGTATTCTGTGATCCATTGCAGTATTTCCCTGCTATTCCTGAAGATGTTACAGTGTGATAGATGTTACAATGTGACGATGTTACAGTGTGACAGACATTAAAGTGTGAAGGAAGTTCCAGTGTTGCAAATGGGTTCGAAAGTGGTAAAACAGACCTTTGAAGAAAACACAACGGGTCAGTTTGCCATAATGCAGCCAGATGTTCGTGAGCCTGCCAGCCGTGACCTAAATTGAGCTTATGGCCAACGAGTGTAAGTTAATTTGGCATCGTTATTATACACCCCATACCCATCCTGTGGGTGGTAATCAAAGGATTACAGAGGTACATAATGGTCCAGGGACTAAACCCCAGAGTTTTGGAACAAGTTACAGTGGTAATAAACTATTTACATTCATGAGTATTTATGAATGTAAACGTATGTTACATAACGCATTCAGGATGTGACCTCATACAGGTCAGGGATCCCTGACTTAAGAGTGACTTCACTCAGTTAGATTCCTATGGGATTATGTTTGGCTAATGGTCTCTTACACTGATGTACCACTGATGATAGTGTGAGGGATGTTACAGTGTGACGAATGTTGTAGCGTGATGGATGTTACAGTGATGGGTGTTAGTGTAACTGATGTTATGTGATGGAAGTTATAGTGTGAAGGATGTCACATTACAGTGACATTACCTGGTAGATGTTACAGTGTGACGGACGTTACATGAGGGAGGTTACATATCAGACGTTAGTGTGATGGATGTTTCGTGATGGATATTAAAGTGTGACAGGTGTTATGTGATGTATATTATAGTATGACGGATGTTACAGTGTGTCTGACGTTACTTAATCAATTTTTAGTTTGTCTGCTGGCGTTAATCATGACTTTATAAATTTTCAGCTCATATCATTAATTAAGTGATACTATCATTATGAATGACTGGTCAGTGGATAATACACTGGCATCCCCCTAGTTATAGAACTTCCCTGTCTAGAGTTCCGACCTTCCGTTCAGTTAGTTTCTGAGATGCAGTCTCCACTGATTTCAACTCTACCATCTTGAATCATGATGAACTGGACTACTCTCGCTATATATCGCAATTTAGATCTACTCGAGTCAATCTGGGGATTTGTCTCTACACCGATCCCGTTCATGGGCCATGATTTCTTGCTGCTGTTCTTTAGCGCAGAAGACCTGTTCTTCCTGGGATGACCATTACATGTAATAAAAGATTGGTAGGCACAAAAGAAAGCCACTATAGTATGCAAGGCATCTCGGGCAAACTTAGTTCTAATGCTTAAATGTAATTTAGACAGCCTATTAAGTAGGATTTCTTCTTGAATTCTCCAGGAAGCAGTGATGTACTCGAATTGGCTCTTCTTCCATCAGGTTCATCTTGAATTGGCTCTTCCTCTCATCTTGGACAGGCTCCCATAGCTCGATCACTATCACACTCAGCTTACACACTGAGGTCCGGAGTTCAAATTCCTGGTTCGACTGGATAACATTAGGACGTATTTCCATACACCTGCTGTCCATGTTCACCCATCAGTATAAAATGGGTACCCGGGTGTTAGTTGACTGGTGTGGGTCGCATCCTGGGACAAAACTGACCTAATTTACCCGAAATGCTCAGTATAACAAGCGTCTTTCTGTATGTAGTAGTGAGGCTCACAGTAATACTGCCAGCAAACATTATGTATTTCATCTTGGTATTGGCAGTAAGTTTCTCTGAGAATTCAACATGAAGCTGTGCCTTATATGCACAGCATTTGGTTGCCTCCCACTCTAGTTTACAATATTATTATAATCAAAAAGAAGCGCTAAGCCACAAGGGCTATACAGTCTAGTTTATATGCTGCTGGTCATTTGCATATGATAAAGTCTTGTATCACATTTTTTTTTTTCAACAACTCAGCCATATCCCATTGAGGCAGGGTGACTTAAAAAAGAAAAGCGAAAGTTTTCCTTTTTAAATTTAGTAATTTATACAGAAGGGGTTACTAGCACCTTGCTCCCAGTATTTTAGTCACCTCTTCTGACACGCATGGCTTGTAGAAGAATTTTTCTCCTCTTCTCCATGGAGAAAACCTAGATAGTTGTATAAATATATATCAGTGTACATACACGTGTAATGTGACTTAAGTGCAAGTAGAAGTACCAAAACGTGCCTGATTTTTTTTTTTTTTCAACAAGTCGGCCGTCTCCCACCGAGGCAGTGTGACCCAAAAAAGAAAGAAAATACCCAAAAAGAAAATACTATCATCATCATTCAACACTTTCACCACACTCACACATTATCACTGTTTTTGCAGAGGTGCTCAGAATACAACAGTTTAGAAGCATATACGTATAAAGATGCACAACATATCCCTCCAAACTGCCAATATCCCAAACCCCTCCTTTAAAGTGCAGGCATTGTACTTCCCATTTCCAGGACTCAAGTCCGACTATATGAAAATAACCGGTTTCCCTGAATCCCTTCACTAAATATTACCCTGCTCACACTCCAACAGATCGTCAGGTCCCAAGTACCATTCGTCTCCATTCACTCCTATCTAACACGCTCACGCACGCTTGCTGGAAGTCCAAGCCCCTTGCCCACAAAACCTCCTTTACTCCCTCTCTCCAACCCTTTCGAGGACGACCCCTACCCCTCCTTCCTTCCCCTATAGATTTATATGCTTTCCATGTCATTCTATGTTGATCCATTCTCTCTAAATGACCAAACCACCTCAACAACCCCTCTTCTGCCCTCTGACTAATACTTTTATTAACTCCACACCTTTTCCTAATTTCCACACTCCAAATTTTCTGCATAATATTTACACCACACATTGCCATTAAACAGGACATCTCCACTGCCTCCAACTGTCTCCTCGCTGCTGCATTTACCACCCAAGCTTCACACCCATATAAGAGTGTTGGTACTACTATACTTTCATACATTTCCTTCTTTGCCTCCATAGATAACGTTTTTTGACTCCACATATACCTCAACACACCACCTCACCTTTTTTCCCTCATCAATTCTATGATTAACCTCATCCTTCATAAATCCATCCGCCGACACGTCAACTCCAAGTATCTGAAAACATTCACTTCTTCCATAATCCTCCTCCCCAATTTGATATCCAATTTTTCTTTATCTAAATCATTTAATACCCTCATTACCTTACTCTTTTCTATGTTCACTTTCAACTTTCTACCTTTACACACATTCCAAACTCATCCACTAACCTTTGCAATTTTTCTTTAGAATCTCCCATAAGCACAGTATCATCAGCAAAAAGTAACTGGGGTCAATTCCATTTTGAATTTGATTCCCCAAAATTTAATCCCACCCCTCTCCCGAACCCCCTACATTTACTTCCTTTACAACCCCATCTATAAATATTTTAAACAACCATGGTAACATTACACATTCCTGTCTAAGACCTACTTTTACGGGAAGTAGTCTCCCTCTCTTCTCCCACACCAAAACCTGAGCCTCACTATCCTCATAAAAACTCTTAACAGCTTTTGATAATTTAAACCCCCTATATATATACTTGCAACATCTGCCACATTGCTCCTCTATCCACTCTATCATATGCCTTTTCTAAATATATAAATGCAATAAAAACTTCCCTACCTTTATCTAATACTGTTCACATATATGCTTCAATGTAAACACTTGATCTACGCATCCCCCACCCACTCTGAAGCCTCCTTGCTCATCCGCAATCCTACATTCTGTCTTACCTTAATTCTTTCAATTATAACCCTACCGTACACTTTTCCTGGTATACTCATAAAAATTAAATTTCCCCTATAATTTTTACAGTCTTTTTGTCCCCTTTCCCTTTATATAAAGGGACTATACATGCTCTCCACCAATCCCTAGGTACCTTCCCCTCTTTCATACATTTATTAAACAAAAGTACCAACCACTCCAACACTATATCCCCCCTGCTTTTAACATTTCTGTCATGATCCCATCAGTTCAGCTGCTTTACCCCCTTTCATTCTACGTAATGCCTCACGTACCTCCCCCACACTTACATTCTGCTCTTCTTCACTCCTAAAAGATGGTATACCTCCCCGACCCGTGCATGAAATTACTGCCTCTCTTTCTTCCTTAACATTTAAAAGTTCCTCAAAAAAATTCTGCCATCTACCTAATACCTCCATCTCCCCATCTACTAACTCCCCTACTCTGTTTTTAACTGACAAATCCATACTTTCCCTAGCTTTCTTAACTTGTTTAACTCACTCCAAATTTTTTCTTTTTTCATTAAAATTTCTTGACAGTGCCTCTCCCACTCTATCATCTGCTCTCCTTTTGCACTCTCTCACCACTCTCTTTACCTTTCTTTTACTCTCCATATACTCTGCTCTTCTTATAACACTTCTGCTTTGTAAAACCTCTCATAAGCTACCTTTTTTCTCTTTTATCAAACCCTTTACTCATCATTCCACCCAAACACTCCTCTTTCCTCCGCCCCCACCCTCCTATAACCACAAACTTCTGCCCGCATTCTAATACTGCATTTTTTAAAAATATTTCCCAAACCCCCTTTCAACCCCCCCCCCCCCACTACTCATCTTTGCCTAGCCCACCTTTCTGCCAATAGTCGCTTTATCTCACCCCAACTTCCTCCTCCCTTAGTTTATACACTTTCACCTCCCTCTTACTTGTTGTTGCCACCTTCCTCTTTTCCCATCTACCTCTTACTCTAACTATAGCTACAGCTAAATAATTGATCCGATATATCATTTGCCCTCTATAAAAATGTACATCCTGGAGCCTACCCATCAACCTTTTATCCACCAATACATAATCTAATAAACTACTTTCATTACGTGCTACATCATACCTTGTATATTTATTTATCCTCTTTTTCATAAAATATGTATTACTTATTACCAAATCTCTTTCTACACATAGCTCAATTAAAGGCTCCCCATTTACATTTACCCCTGGCACCCCAAATTTACCTACTACTCCCTCCATAACATTTTTACCCACTTTAACATTGATATCTGCCTGATATCTGGATTATTATTACTGGGGAGCACTAAACCCACATGGATTATAGGATGGAAGGAATTCAGGCTCAGTTTAAGGAACTAGAGCACAGATCCATTTCCCAAGATCATGAGCCCCTCACCAGCATCAAGGAACTTCCCTTGAGGGACAGGAATAAAAGAACAAATGTACATGTGCAGTTATGTTGCAAAATCTCTTATCTGGATCATTTTTCAAAATGTACAAATTATTATAATCAAAACCAAGTGCTAAACCCACTAGGGTCATACAGCACTGTCCAAATATACCAAGTAACTACAGCAGCCTCATCCATGTAAGTCAAGGTGATGATGAACATGTCCGGCCTTTCAGTCATTGCACTTGATGATTATTATTATTATAATCAAGGGGGAAGCGCTAAACCCAGAGGATTATACAGCGCCTGGGGGGGGGATGTGGAAGGCATTCAGGCTTAATTCGGGGAACTGGAGCACAGATCCAATTCCCTAAATCAAGAGCCCCTCACCAACATCAAGGAACCTTCCTTGAGGGGTGCACTTGATGAGCTGAGTCTCTGGAATCTGGACTGCATAGAAATTTCTCTGGAAGTTTATTACTACAATTAGGCTCACTTAGATGATGAAAGTGACAGAAAGAATAAAGTTCACGATATACGAAGAAGTACATAATAAGAGGTAGCGTCTTGCTGAGGTGTACATTGTCTGGCTGAAAAGAACAAAACTTGTGCTCTCCAAGGATATTTTTTTTGTAAATATTATTGTTATTACAATCAAAACTAAGCGTTAAACTCACCAGGGTCATACAGCGCTGAGCACTGACTGTAAATACAGTAGCACTCCCGTATCAGCAGGGGACATATTCCAAGGACCTGCCACAGATACTGAAACCGCGGATAGTAGCGAACCTTATGTACGTCGTTTTTCATTTACATACATACCTATTACAAAATTTGATAAATTATGCACATAAGTGGAGAATTATCACTTTTTCACTGGTGGGAAGTACTGCATGGCTTCTCTTAGGCTTTGAAGAACTTCCACCATCACTACTATTGCATTTTGAGGCCATTATTCAGCAAAACTAAGGGTTATTTTCAGGCCACAGCAAACCGTCGATAACCGAAACTGTGGATACCAGACCCGTGGATACAGGGGTCCTACTGTATAGCAAAAACTTTCCAGAAGACTGGGATGATCATGAAAAAATTCAGGTACCAAGCTTGATCCCTGTTCCATCCTCGCCATGGACCAGCACAATATATTTACTACTTGGAGCATGTTAGTTTAGGTCCTTTCATTAATATAAACTTAGGGCTAATGAGACAGTTTTCTTGCTCAGTTGATTATTGTCTCTTGGAGTGCATGGTGAAGGACCTGGTTCCTCAGACCTAGCTATCCTATTATTACTATTACAGTCAAAATTAGGCACTGAACCCACCAGGGACATGCAGTGCTGCAGTTATCCAATTAAAGTCTCTGGGCACAGGGTTTTTCTCTGCCTACAAATGCATAATAAAGTTGGTAGAATTACCGACAATATGTAAAGCAAAAGGACACAAGTACACTAACGGCTTGATAAGCTCCTGGAGAGCGAAACGTTGCCACAATAAAATGTCACATTAGTTGCGCTTGTGTCCTTTTACTTTACCTTCAAATGCATGGAAGGTATAGATCTAGTGTTCACTCAGCATGGGATCACTACTGTACCTGGAGACTTTTTAAAACAACCAGTCTTTGTTGTCTTTACTCTCATTTTTTTTTTTACCAAGAAGCTCTGTGCTTAGCAACATGCTCCATAGTCTGTTTTCATCTCTCTTCTATGATGTGCTTTTGCACAGAGAAAGATAACTCACACCCTTTCACCATTTAGTCGACGAATCTCTTTCGTTCAGAACCACTCCTCATATTCTTTTTTAATCAAGTACACTAACTCAGCCCAAAATTCTGTACTTGTATCATGAAAGGCAAGTAAAACTATGATTTTTCAGTTTCCAAAATATATTTAATGTATTGAAAATACCTGAAACACTATACAGTATATTAAAAATGTGTAAATTAACTTTTAAATGGTACTCACAGACATATATACTTACCAGTTATATACCTGATGGTTTCCCTAAATGAAATGTTCAACAATAATTTATATTTTTACAAAGCACATCCAGTTAGTGTATGTACTAACTTTTTCAATGAAAGTTACTATCGTTTTTGTATCTCAGCTACCTCTGTTATTGGAATGGTACTGTCTTCAATACCAACTGTGACTATTAAAGCACAGTAGTAAAGAAGCTAGCAGACACCGGTTAGAGACAGTGATCCCCAAAACTATTACAAAGTAATTAGAGTGCCTCTGTTTTTATTTTATATAGTGCAAGATGTGACATATGCAATGTTTCAATAAAACACTTCTGATCACATTGCATCCACACATTAAAACATTTATATATAAAAACTACTGAAGAAGTGTTATTACATTCAAGAAAAGCGGTAACCTGTGTACCTGGTGCTACACAGCAGAAGTGAGAGAAAGCAGTGGAGGTATTGAAAGGACACTGACACAGATGTCTTTTTCTCAATGAGTTGTGTCACAGAGATGATTATTTTATGTTAGCCAGGCTTGTTCTGTTGCCAACAAGATCAGATAAAAAATAATGATAAATTTTGGTAAATGGATATGAGTATCTAGCCAGCCACAAACCAATGATTTTGATTTTCATAGACATAAAACCCAAAATTTTGAAAATATAACCTCCAAATCAGGTCTCTTCTCAAATGTCATCAGAACCTATCCACTCACTTCTAATTCATTTTGGTGACCAACACATGCACTTACACAGAAAGACAGTAAATGACTATCCCACAGCTGTATGATAAATGAGCAAAGGTGAAAAAATTACATCGCTCCTATAAAGTGCATTATATAGAAAGTGTGGAGAAAACAGACGATGTCTAGCTGGCAGAAGGATTTTCATAGGATAAAACTCACTAGCGAGCATTTAAGAGTATCAAACACAGCCCTTAGCGGAGATGCTCCATGGCAAAACTGAGTGTCTTCAATGAAGACAATGCAAGTCAAGATTTTACAGTGATGGATTTACGTACTTTTAATCTGAAAGCGGAGGGAATAACACCTTAAAGTAAATGCTTGTTTATATTTCTGTTCGAGCCTAATGCCACAGTAACCTCATTTTTGCTTCTGCCATGCATTATCAAACTCACCATTCCACTGAATGCTCTTGAAAATGATAACAGATACAAAAATATTTTTAACATTTAGAAACCCCAAAGGGTGAGTCCCAGGCACAAGGAGCATATGATTTATGACCAGCATTAAACACATCTCAAGTGAACACTGACAACTTGAAAGTGTAATCAATACTTGTCAATGTCTAAGTAAACCAACAGGATATAAAAACAAAATGTGAGGAGCTTTCTGTTTCAATCATTAACTCAGAGCAGAGATGCTCTGAAATATTTGTCTTCTCTGAATTTACTCAAGCACTGACCCTTAAAACTCGAGCGTCATCCAAAACCACACACATTACAATCAAAACCTTTATTTACAAAAATAAAATACATGGGCAACTGATAAAAGTGATACATATACTGTACATAGTAATTATTTTTTACACTGACTATGTTATGTGCACCATTTCAAGCATGTATTAATCTAATAGCTTTTAAAAATTTATAATACAAGTGTAACAATTGTGACTAGCAAAAATGTTGATAATTATACAAGGCACAAAGTTTCAATACAAAAGTAATATACATCAACAGCAGAGTGATGATTATTCATTGATGTGAAAGCAAGCAGCAGATAAAGTCAATGTAAACATGAAAAACTTCTGAGTGATGAACTGGATGGATGAACTGACTGCATAATATAATTTTTCCCCTCTCAATATTGCACACATATTATACATACCACTTTATACATATGCATGTATTTGTGTATTTTCTAACATACAAAAAATGCACAAGCTTATAGGGCATTGTCACTCTTGAACAGCATAATATTAATAATAATAATATGATCAAATTAAGTGCAGAACCCAATGATGAGGTGACGTGCAGGAATGTATGAAAATAGGAATTAGGAGTAGGGAAAAGCACAAGAGGAAAAATGAAATCCCAGTTGGTGCAATAAGTTAAGTTGTATTAAAAAAGTCAAAGAGAAAGTCTGCATCAAAGATGAAACTTTAAGAAAAGAGGACAGGGAGAGTTGCACTGTCAGGTTGAGCTGACAGTGCAACCTGACAGTCCCCGCAGAGCGGTGCTGGGTGTTTCTTCATGAGGTATCCATGAGCAAGGCATGTGTGGCCAATGTGTAGAGGGAAGAGTGCAGCCCTCCCAAACACGACAGTGGTGGGAAGAGGACAGCCAGAAACCTAAACACGGCTTGACAGAAAATAATTTGCTGTGGACCAACTTGGACCAAAGGTGTTGCTATCAGATGTGGAGTTGTCGAGAGATCACCGAAAAATAATCTGAGTAAGGAATACCCCTGCAGAAAATTGGGGAGTCACGACCAGCTGGTTGAATGGCTGAGTCTGCTAGTTCATTGCCCCGAACAACGTTTGCATGTGCACAATAGCTATGCGAACTGCATGTACAGTAGAAAACATTGTCCCATGATCATAACTCTCATTTTCAATATTACGCAATTTAAATTTAGGTTTTCATTTCCAGTAGAAACGCACCCATTTCAATTAAAATGCTCGGGAGCGGAATTCATTGCCACTGATGGTGAGAATTTCCATTAAGGAACATCATGGCAGGCAAGCCTGAGACCTCCCCAATATGCATTAGGCAACTCCACTGTCTAAGCACTGTGGGGGGGGAGGTGTAAGGGAAGGTGATACATTGAAAACAAGTCAAACTTTTACGTGGGTCAGTGTACATAGATGCATACCATACAACTGTAGCTCAGTGTGCATCACTCAGTTTTTTCTTCTTTTCATCACCTCCCTCTCATCTCTGGATATTTACCATGGCTTCCAAACAAAGTGCAAGTGATACTGGTAGAGCAAGGAAGAAGATTAAAAATGAAACTATGCCTCTTGTTAAAAACATAGATAACCGAGATGCTGCATGGTGATGCATGCAACAGGGACACTGCATGAGTGTTTAGTATTACAGAATTAATGATTTGGTCAATCTGAGACAACAAGGCATTGATAAGAGCTGGTGCAATGAGTTATCCTCAGCAAAAAATAAAAATTAGGAATATGTCCACAGCCACCCTCTCTACTCATTTCAACATATTAATCATCCTGAACTCAACTTGAGGGTAGGCAACAAATAATGTACAGTATTAATGTAACCATTTGTAGCTAATGTATGTACCTTCTTTTAACTGTCCAAACCTCACTAGAATTCAGGTATTTCACAAAGCATTATCATTGACAATGTTAGGTAAGAAAAGCTATTATTTTTATGGCATTTAAAAAATTCGTTACAGCTCTCTCCATCTGAAGAATGCAACCCTATTTGTCCCAAATGTTTTTCAGTCCTTAAGGCATGGAAATCATTAGTAGAGCTAATAATGATCATAATTCGTGTAACCTACGCAAATTATGATCGTCCGCTACAATTCTGCTGTGAAAATGCTGGCGAAGTCTTGTAAATGACCTCAGATGATTTTGTTAGGGAAAAACTCTAGCATATTCAACATCAGGGGACTTAGAACCATCAGTGTACACTACAACATCATGAGGATGAGAATGGAAGTGATTAAGAAAGAGAAAGCATGACATTATAGCAGGCAAGTGAGCTTTCACATGTGTAAGAAGGGAAGAGCAAACACGAATCGTCGGGACTTCCCAGAGAGGGGAAGAAAAGTGAGATGCAGGGTAAATACAGAGGGAAGGTTAAATTAAGGGAAGAGAAGAGAAAGTGAATACAGGGAGAAAAGGGGCATAATAGATAGACATAAACTAAGATAATTAATTCTAAGCACAATCTAGGAGACACGTTAAGTTTATTTAGGTACTGTACATATAAGTACAGTTATCATACATGTGTGTAAATTACCTAGGATAACCCAAGAAAGTCAGACAAAGTCACTTAATTTCATTGGGGTCCTTGTACACACATCCTGAATACTATATGCCCAAGTTACACCAGGGCATATTATTAATATAGAGAACAGTAAATTTAGCCCATCTCATAGTATAATTAACATGTTAATGACAAAAATAAGTCGCTTTAAAAATCTTTAGTCTACAAGCCGAAAAGCCAGCACTGGTCTCTGCATACTGTACAAACACCCAAGAACCTTTGTTCACTTACACATCTTCAGAAGGTATGTGTAAACACAAGAAGGCTCGCATGTGTTTTTGTTCTGCAAATTTTTTCTCATACGGTAAATCCAGTGCCACAGCCGAGTGATGATGCTGTATGCTCCCGTCTGTATGCTGGAGGATCCAGCCTAAATGCACACATGCTTCTCACACTGCATAATGTGTTCTCTAATCAACACTGGATTTTCAAGAAAATTTTGTAAAAGGTAACTGTACATTGACACAAAATATATTGCTGCCTTAAAAGAATTAAGACTAATAACACAGAAAATCTTATTATTCATTTCCAACGAATTATTTCCGGAAACTGTTTTGAAGATCTTCCATGTTAATGTTTCTGGAATATCGCGCAGTTACAAAAAAAAATATATATATATATCAGTAGTGACAACAGCTTTTCTACAGTACTGTTAAAGGCAAGTTTAGGCTTTATAAACAAAATACGACCAGCCTGATAAAATTACATTTTGACTTAACTTGAACATGAATAATGTATATTCATCTATATTTCTTTAACAATGAAGTAAGAAAAACAAAAATTTTCTGTACCTCCCTCAATAAAAAATTGAAATTTACCTTGACAATACAGGAGTAGTACAACCTTTCTTTAAGTATTATCATAATAATGGTATATAATACTGATAAGTTGATGAACAAGACACATTTGCAACAGTTAAGTATCTATTCCAAAATGTCTCACCTACACATTAGACTTCTTCAGTCAAATACAGAGGTGACTAAATATGAAAGCAGCAGGAGAAGTAGAGAGGTAAAGATGATAGGATCAGTGCATTAACCTTGAAGATGGTGAGTCCCTAAGCTTAGAGAAGACTGCCTCAAACACTACTTCAAGTTTGATGGACAGATCACATCATCTTTACCTCCCCACTGCTTCTGTTGTCTCCACATTTAGTCACCTCTGCATTCAACTGAAGAAGCCTATTGTGTAAACCAAAGGTTTCTGAAGAGAGATACATACCTATCTGTTGCACATCTCTTACTCACCAGATTTTAACTTTTTCTTTAACACACCGGTCATATCCCACCAAGGCAGAGTGACCTAAATTTAGTCATTTTTACAGAAGGGGTTACTAGCCCCTTGCTCAGATTTTAAGTACCATTATATTATCAATGGTGTACAATACCCACAAGTTGATGATTAAGACATGTACATCACTTAGGAATCTATGGAAAAAGACAAATGCAGTGTAATGCAATCATTTATTGATGAAATTTAGTCCATACAGTGGGATCTATCAAATCTGTGACTTGATAAAGCCCAGTGTGTGAACAAAATGCAATCAGTAAAGAATCTCATTACACTGCATTTGTGTCTTTTTTCATCATGTACACATTTTATACTGCTTCTCTCTACTTAGGTATCTAGATATTGCACGTGTGTCTTACTCACCAAGTACCAATATCTTTTCCTTTGAAACATACAGAGTACAGCTAGCTACTTACATTTTAGCACCTTAAACAGATGCCTGCCAAATATACAAAAGTGACTATTAAATATCATTTCATCATATATAACAAAATGTGACTTAGACACTAGTTATTTTAGGAGAATGCATTATCTATGTTGCCCTGAGCTTCGCCAGAGAGTCTTCAAGCTCTTGATCTGTCATGACGTGACCTCGGCTCGTCGCTCCCAGTGTACCCGACACGGCTGCTGGTGCTCCTGCCACCTGTATGATCAATAATGTGTTACAACACTTTAGCATAATTTTTTTCATCCAGAAAGAATAAAAAGGCACAATAGGCACAAAAGGCATAACACCACAAATCGCCCGCACATAGGAGACTAACTCCCAATGCTGTTTCGGTCTAACTTGGACCATTGACTAATGGTCTAGTTAATGGTCCAAGTCAGACAACAATGTTGTCATAGGTTTCATTCTCCTATGTGCATGCTATTTGTGTGTGTTTAATCCATTTTTTACATCAGCCATCTCTCACCAACATAATGTGACCAAAATCAAAAAACATTCATCAGCATAAATTCAACAGCTGTCATGCCAGAAGTGTGAGGAGATCACAATTCAAATGACTCTTAGAATTGAAACATCCCTACCCCTCCTTCAGTTATATCTTTTAATCATTTACTTTCAATTTTACATTTCCTATATTTATGATCAGCTTAATCTTGCAATATAAAAGTGGATAGTGGATTAGTTTTGCAATGGAACCTCTCATAACTTTAGAACTGAGGACATGAGTGGGCTAACTCTTCTTGTGAAGGAAACCTTATTGGCAGCCTTTATATGAGGAAAAATCTCATAGATCATCTTATGCTATCTCCAAACTTACAATACTACAATAACCCCATAGACAAAAACAAAAAAGCTATAATAATCTGAAGACTACAACAGGCAATGTATATACACCTATTTGAGACCATCATCACTACCATCCCCATATCTTCTTTCCCACCTTCCATACTGCCATCCATGCTTCAGTCTCACAGGAAACAAATACAGATCTATAGTAATTCCCTGCATAACAACTATTTGCTTAGCAGCTTAAAGGAGGACTTTCTTTGAATTATTACCCCTAGAACAGTTTTTCATGATCTAGTATAATTTTAAGCTTTCAGTATAATCTAAGCAGAATTTCTTAAAACTAGCATAATTTTAGATATTTCACATTTTAGCATATTTCTAGCCTAATTTTGTACATTTGTCATCCTAAGTCTGAAGTTTGAAGCATATCAGTCACTCCCAAGGCTTTTAAGCCACCATCCGTAAGTTGTGGGAAATCCTGGAAGAATTAATTTTTAATCATTTCCCTGACAGTTGAAGGATGTCCTAAAGAGCAAGAGGAAGGGAAGGGCCAGTTAATCTAATCCATGAAAGTGCCACATACAAACTGAAAATAGAAAAAATGCTATAACCAAACGATACTTTTATAAATCATATGACAGGACACAGGACAGGACACTACAAGCGACTGCTTGACAGAGTAGAGAACAGAGCAAGACGTCTCATCTCTCGCCTGGACCCATCCTGGATAGATCTGTCATTTCAGCAGAGCCTTGAACATAGGAGGGATGTGGGTGGCCTTACTGTTATGTACAAGGCCAATATTGTCAAAATACCACACTTGGATCCACTTTGAGGACAGCGTGAAACAAGCTTTTATGCCACAAGACGGGCAGAAAGCAGCAACTTCACTCTGGCTGTACCCTTCTCCAGAACATCACTCCATCTGAGATCATACATACCCAGGATGACTCGAGTATGGAACACATTCATACAGCATAATGATGTCAACGAGATAAAGTCAGTTGATCAAATGAAAATGCCCACAGATGGCTCCAACTTCATCCTGTTCCCTACTTGTATGTCTCATAACGATAAAAATGCTTTCAAATGAGCTGATGTAGGTAACAGCTCTTAGCTTGCCAATAAAGTTAGGAATCCTTAAGCTGTAAATAGCTTGTCAATAAAGCTAGGGATCCTTAACCTTGTCAAACCCTGTGTAAAAAAAAAAAAAAAAAAAAAGCACTGCTTTGATCATTTATGTGCAAACAGATAATTTTTTTCATAAATTTATACCTTTGTGATGGCTGCTACTTTCTAAGTCTCCATCCTTTTTATTTGTGTTATTTTACATGTCTTTACACTTCACTACTAAATATGTACTCTTGCTGAGACAACTGCTTCAATGAGCCATAACTAAGCATAAATAATTCTTAGCCAAATACGACAAAAGTAATTAAATATCCAAGACTAGAAAGTGTGGAAAAAATAAGGCTTTCTTTGATATGACTAGTAATATTCCACATGTGGAAAATCCTTCACATCTTGTGAACATGCTGTAAATGATAGAGAAACATACCATTATACTCACTAACCTATATGTAATTTTGTAAACACATCAGCCATTTCCAACTAAGGTAGACTGACTAAGAAAGAAACATATTCACTGCACTCACTCTAAAGCTGTCCTTCCAGAAGTGCACTAACCTCACAATTCAAATTACCTTCAAAACTTAGTGCTGTAATACTGTGTGTAACATTCATCAATGTTTAAAACTGCAGTACAATAATGCTGGTCTAATTTTACCTTTGCACCAATTTCAATGCCAATTTCATCCAGCACCTGGTTGACAATGGCATCACTCTCCTCCTCGTCTCCACTCTCATTTAAGATGTCATCAAGGGTATCGTTCACTGTTAAAAATAGGTATTTAATAATACTAATGCAATAGAGAACTCTATGTTAAAATCAGAATTCATATTGTCTAAGTCTGTAAAGAAGTGAAAACTAATCACTGCAAAAATAGTTTTTAACATTTATTTACAGTATTCTGTAAAAATTTATAAAAAGACATTTACATCACTTTACACCTTAGCACTGTACAGTGAAAATCGCAGCAGCTGATGCCCAAAACTTACTAAGTTCATGGACACGCAATGTTTATGACAAAATTGTCAATGTTCTGATTTTATATAAAATATTTAGAATCCCTAAACAACACTTACTGATTTCTTCACCCATGTTCAGCTTGGCAGAGGCCTGTTCAAAATCCCTCATATTCTTGGCCACTTCCTCAGGTTTCATAATCTGGTTCATGCTCACCATAGTTTTTGTGGCAGTTCCCATGGCTCCGGCAAGTTTGACATTAGCCTGCAGGGATTTTTGTTGGGCTGCTACCGATGATATCTGAAAGATTCAATAATAGATTTAGAGTGGGGAATTCTGGGTACAGTAAACCCTTAATATAATAGACTTCTAAAAAATGGGCAAAATCCACTGAGTAAATTGCACTTTCAACTCATTTATATTCATTATTTATTACTATATAACTGTAAATTGAAGGTATAGTTCCATGTTACATGTACAATAGAACATTTAAGTGCTTTTTTTATATTTTTAACATTATTCTGATTTAACAGACACTCTGACAATCTCCCTATAAGTCTGTTATATTGAGGGTTTATCGTATCTGAATGACTATAGGTAATAATCCGTCACTCAAAATAGCTGAAAGTTGCTCGCAGTGTATATATTGTCTGTGGACAAAATATACCTGTAGGTAACCAAATCTGACTGAATCTCATTCCACAGACACTGTAAGATCCAAAAGGGTTCAGCATTCACCAGTAAATATAACATATAATAATAATAATAAAGGAAGTGCTGTTATTTATTGGGTACACCTCTATATCTTGTGCAGGAAGAACAACAAAACAAATGCTTCATATCTCCCTTATAATAACTTTTTAAATAAAGCCAGAAAAGTCAATTAGTAGAGGGAAAAACAATAGATATACAATAATCTGAAGGCCCATTAGATGCATAGTATTTTGGGCAAAACTTATACTATCAGTACTTAAAATTTACATAGTTTTAATTTTCTTAAGGGTTAAATTCATGGTATTATTAAGAACTTAAAAACAGATACAATTTACAAGTTAATTCATAAAAAAAAAAATATGTATATAAAATATAATTGTCTAGTTTTAAGGTGAGTGGTATCAGTTAATTAAAATGCAATACAAAACAATATAGCAAAACTGAGAATTATTTCTGCAGACACAAATACAAGAAGTAAAGATAGAGATAATATGTACTATGTAAACTTATCAGTACAACAACTATGTCAGAAAGAAGGGATTGCAACATATTGTACAATATATGGGAGTAGAAAGAAAACAGCTGAAATAAGTGTAGGGAAGGAATTGAATGAAAACAAGTAGGCTTAGGGATTTGCTTGATATATAGGATATTGCTGTCAAGAATCACATTAATGTAAGGAGATGCTTTTTAACAGTATCTTTGAAGTGGATGGCAGAAAGGGAACATTAAGAATCTTCTGGCAGAGAGTTCCAGGTTTTAGGGCTTTGTATGTGCATTGAGTTTTTAGTCAGACTGAGCCAAACATGGAGAATATCAGAGAGATTTTTTTGTCTAGTATTATCTCTACAAGTTCTATTGCAGCTATATCCAGGAAGAGTTTCAGAGCAGGGTTTATATATGAATTAGTTGTCCTGTATATATACTGTGCATAGCAGTATGAGTGAATATTCTGTATGCTCAGCAAATTTAAACTTTTGAAGAATTGGGGCATGTTTTGTCTAGCATTTGCTTGAGTGATCCTTCATACAGCAGCCTTAGGTGATTTGCTGTAGTAGATCCCCAGAAGAACACAGTAAGTAATACTGTCCAAGGTATGTAGTAACGTATCTTAAGAGAGGATGCCCATAACCACTTTCTTGGTTATGTGCTCGATGTGGGAGTTGAATTTAAATTGATGTCAAGGTATAGACCTAAGAATTTTCCCTCAATTTATCTTATAATGTGTGAATCATCATCATCTTTCTTCTTTCATCAAACCGGCCATATCCCACCAAGGCGGGGTGGCCCAAAAGGAAAAACGAAAGCTTCTCCTTTTAAATTTAATAATATATACAGAAGGGGTTACTAGCCCCTTGCTCCCGGCATTTTAGTCGCCTCTTACGACACGCATGGCTTATGGAGGAAGAATTCTGTTCCACTTCCCCATGGAGAAATGTGTGAATCATTATCATTATATTTAGCTGGACATCTGTAGCTTTGTTCCCAGATATCATGTAGGTCTTGTCAATATTAAGATAGTTTATCGGTAGTCATGCAAGTAGTTGGTACTACTTGTATTGCATATACAATGTACATATTTATTCTCTTCCCATTTGTTAATGCCATAAAAATCACTTAATGAAATGATACAAACAGATACCTGGGTGAGGAAAGGTAGCGAGTTATACAAGTATACTGGCTGTATGATGTATAACAACAAGCCAAACAACTCTAACTCAAATGACATGCACATTATATGACAACAGGCGATAAATGATATGCCCATGTACTCTGCCCCAGGACCAGACTCATGGAACTCCGTGTTCATCAAGAACTGCAAAAAGCCCCTATCACGAGCTTTTACCATCCTATGGAGAGGGAGCATGGACACAGGGGTTGTCCCACAGTTACTAAAACCAACAGACATAGCCCCACTCCACAAAGGGGGCAGTAAAGCAATAGTAAAGAACTACAGACCGATAGCACTAACATCCCATATCATAAAAATCTTTGGAAGGGTCCTAAGAAGCAAGATTGCCACCCATCTAGAAACCCATCAATTACACTACCCAGGGCAACATGGGTTTAGAACAGGTCGCTCCTGTCTGTCTCAACTATTGGATCACTACGACAAGGTCCTAGATGCACTAGAAGACAAAAAGAATGCAGATGTAATATATACAGACTTTACAAAAGCCTTTGACAAGTGTGACCATGGCGTAATAGCGCACAAAATGCATGCTAAAGGAATAACAGGAAAAGTTGGTCGATGGAGCTATAATTTCCTCACAAACAGAACACAAAGAGTAGTAGTTAACAGAGTAAAGTCCGAGGCAGCTACGGTGAAAAGCTCTGTTCCACAAGGCACAGTACTTGCTCCCATCTTGTTCCTCATCCTCATATCTGACATAGACAAGGATGTCAGCCACAGCACCGTGTCTTCCTTTGCAGACACTGCAAGGCTCCAGGCGGACATCAATCAAATCTTTCAGTGGGCTGCAGAAAACAATATGAAGTTCAACGATGAGAAATTTCAATTACTCAGATATGGTAAACACGAGGAAATTAAATCTTCATCAGAGTACAAAACAAATTCTGGCCACAAAATAGAGCGAAACATCAACGTTAAAGACCTGGGAGTGATCATGTCGGAGGATCTCACCTTCAAGGACCATAACACTGTATCAATCGCAGCTGCTAGAAAAATGACAGGATGGATAATGAGAACCTTCAAAACTAGGGATGCCAAGCCCATGATGACACTCTTCAGGTCACTTGTTCTATCTAGGCTGGAATATTGCTGCACACTAACAGCACCTTTCAAGGCAGGTGAAATTGCTGACCTAGAAAATGTACAGAGAACCTTCACGGCGCGTATAACGGATATAAAACACCTCAATTACTGGGAGCGCTTGAAGTTCCTGAACCTGTATTCCCTGGAACGCAGGCAGGAGAGATACATGATTATATACACCTGGAAAATCCTAGAGGGACTAGTACCGAACTTGCACACGAAAATCACTCACTACGAAAGCAAAACACTTGGCAGACGATGCAACATCCCCCCAATGAAAAGCAGGGGTGTCACTAGCACATTAAGAGACCATACAATAAGTGTCAGGGGCCCGAGACTGTTCAACTGCCTCCCAGCATACATAAGGGGGATTACCAATAGACCCCTGGCAGTCTTCAAGCTGGCAATGGACAAGCACCTAAAGTCGGTACCTGACCAGCCGGGCTGTGGCTCGTACGTTGGTTTGCGTGTAGCCAGCAGTAACAGCCTGGTTGATCAGGCTCTGATCCACCAGGAGGCCTGGTCACAGACTGGGCCACAGGGGCGTTGACCCCCGGAACTCTCTCCAGGTAATACCAAAAGATAACAGAAGAGTTAAGAATATATATAGAAAAATACTGTACAGAATGAAAAGTTGAGAAATTTGATAGATGGAGAGTGCATTTTTTTTTTTTACAAATTTTAAAGAAAAAAATATTCTGTGCCAAAATATACATTCTGGCCGTGTACACATCAAAAGTGAAACAAATGATCTAACCCTACTGTTTGCTGCATAGGTTCTTGTCTTTTGTTTTCTAATGTTAACTAGTTGTTTGGCCAACAGTGCAATAGCCTCCTTATTGCCTGGTGATTTGGCTAATCTCTTTATGTCATTTTCCAGTTTCTTCTCCTCTCTCTCCAGTTCCCGTCGATCTCGTTCCACATCTCGACCAGTTTTACGTAGTAGTCGTTCATTAGCCCTCATTTGTTCTGGAAAAATTAATGTTCATCAAATATTGTCAACATACTATAATATACACTGTACCTGTAATAATACAGTGGACCCCCGCCTTACAATGGCATCGCATTACGTTAAATCCGCCATACGATACATTTTAATGCAAAATTTTTGCCTCGCCTCACGCTAAAAGACTCGCCTTACGTGATTCGTCCAGGACGCATCCCACGTGTGGCCTCAGCACCAGTGTTTACAAGCCAGCCAGTGAGGTCACATCTACGCATACATTCGGTACATTTCACATTATCCCAGTGTTTTTAGTGCTTGTAACTGCAAAATAAGTCACCATGGACACCAAGAAAGCTTCCAGTGCCATCCCTGTGGTAACAAGAGTGAGAATTAGTATGGAACTGAAAAAGAGATTAAGGAAATGTGTGCAAAGTGGGTTAAACTGCAAACCTTTATGGATGAAAATCACCCTCACACAGCTATTGTGAGCCGTGCTGGTGACTACAATTACAATGTTGTGAACCACTTTAGACAAATCATAAAGGAGAGAGAGGTACAGAGCTCTATGGACAGATATGTTGTGTGACAGAGGTCCAGTGACTCTCAAGCTGGTCCTTGTGGCATTAAAAGAAGAAGGGAAGTAACCCCGGAAAAGGACTTGATACCCCTTCTAAACAATAACAACTTCCACACTCTTCCCTCCTCCCATCCCATCAATCATCACCAGATCTTCAATGAAGGTAAGTGTCATGTATTCTATTCTTAGTAGAGTATTAACTGTGCATGTCTTCTTCAGTTTGTGTGTATTAAAATTAATATTTCATGTGGTAAAAAATTTTTTTTTTTTCATACTTTGGGGTGTCTTGCACGGATTAATTTGATTTCCATTATTTTTTATGGGGAAAATTAATTCGCCTTACGCTAATTTCGGCATACGATGAGCTCTCAGGAACGGATTAATATCGTAAGGCGGGGGTCCACTGTAATAGCAATAATTAAAAATGTAAGGTTTAAAGATTTTCAGAGATCCTTTTCCAGTAGTATAGCATTTTTAAGGATGATCACTGGCTTGCCTTGGCATCTTCAAACAGCAGATTTGTTGCACAGGTTAACACAGATTATGTACTCTCTGGGAGATGAAGTATGGTAATGCACCTGCCATTATCTGCCCTGCAAAATTAATTATCGGGTGACTTTATTTTAGGCTCAGGTACACGTAAAGACAGTTACACAAATCATTAAACATAGTAACATGTGCAAATTACCTAGGATAACCCAAAAAAGTCAGACAGCGAGACTTATTACTACTGAGGTCCTTGTAATATCTTATTATTTAAACTTTAAAAGTTAAAACAGTTGTGACTGCTTGTTTGCACATACATACTGCAAAGATTTCTGTTGCACTGCGAATGTGGAAGTAAATTAAGAAACTTTCATTCTTTTGGTAATGTTTAAGGAATATCACTGTCTTGGAGTATTATTGACTTCAGGGTACTAATACATACAGTTCTATGGGGAAGAGAGGTGCAACTGTTGGTTTATTTTCATAGTTTTGAGAGATGCCAAGGTGCAAGACGAGATTATATAAAGGGTGAACGGAATGGTAATGGCAGGGGTTACTTTGGAATGTATGGATAAGGTGGATGTAGAGAAATGTAGAAAGTGAGGTACATGTACTTAGGGTACAGTATATCTCTGCCTTTTCATGTGAATCTGTTTGGACACCTATACACCATAACAGGCAAGCACTGAAATTTGTAATCAAGTTGGGTAAATTTAAAGTTAAAAAGTTTATGAAAATACATGTACTTGTTTGATAACAGTTGCTGATACGAGGAAAAAACTGCAGAGTAGATTTTGTTCCAATTATTAATCAGGCAGATTGGTGACCAAAGTTAACCCAATAAAGTCCACACATCATCAGGGACTGTCAGTCTCATTTTCATTGGGGTCCTTCAAGTCTTTCCTCCAAGATGTAACCCATGACAGTCGACTAACACCCAGGTACCTACTTACTGCTAGGTGAACAGAGGCAGCAGCTGTAAAGACATATGCCTAACATTTCACTGCACTGGGAAGCAGTCCCTGGGCCCTCACATGTGAACCAAAGATGCTATGAACTAACCATGAACACCAACATCCAATTAAGCTCTTTATGAAGCTTTAAAAACTGGTTACCTGGCATATAACTAGAGGGGGTTATAGGACTCAATGCCCCAGCGGCCCAGTCCATGACCAGGCCTCGGTTATGAAAATATATGAATAAGAATGGTTGAGAGTAAGTAGGATCTGCCTAGCAGACCTACCAGTGATTCAATTCTTACATTCTTATATCATCACTTGTGGGAGAACACCTAGGTAACAACCCAGGTGAACTCACACGAGAACACCTAGGTAACAACCCAGGTGAACTCACATGAGGACACCTAGGTAACAACCCAGGTGAACTCACACGAGAACACCTAGGTAACAACCCAGGTGAACTCACATGAGGACACCTAGGTAACAACCCAGGTGAACTCACACGAGAACACCTAGGAACACCGGTGAACTCACATGAGGACACCTAGGTAACAACCCAGGTGAACTCACATGAGGACACCTAGGTAACAACTCAAGTGAACACATATGTTCCTCTGTATAATAACTGCACTTATGTGTGCCTGTACCTAAACAAAATTACTTAGACAAACACTCAGGTGAGGGAGAACACCTAGGTAACAACCCAGGTGAACACACTCACATGTGCTACACACACTCCTCACCACCTGCACCTACCTTTAGGGTTAGGTTTCTTGAACATGATGGCTGGATAAAGCCGAGTGTGGCTGGAAAACCTCGGAAATAAGAAGCAATATCAGCACCTATGGCGGCTGTCAGCTGCTCCTGAGTAAACACAACAGCTACCATATATATAATAAATTTCCTCTCATATTTCCCATGATACATAGACTTTTATATAGTTTAAGAACATAATTAAATATATTTTATACTTCTAAATTATATTTTTGATTGTCTATGTCTTTTTTTGCAGTGACAGATTTATATACACGGGATTTAAATGGTTTAAAAGTTGCTAAATAAAGTTAATGTGGATAAAAGTGTGCATATTATAAGGAATTTAGATACTTATTTATTTTATAGAATGTTAATTGATGGTTAAGGAGGTGTAATAGGGTAGTTAAGTGATGTTGATGTTTGGTTGTTGTTGATGACTTGTGTAGTCATTTTCAGTGGTGGTGTAACTTGATTTGGTGGTCGTGTGGGTCGTATTAGTGGTCGTGTAGGTCATCTCGGTAGTCGTGTGCGTCGTCTTACTGTAGGTGTAGGCTACCCCAGTGGTCGTGTTTAGTCATCTCAGTGGTGGTGTAGGTCATCTCAGTGGTGGTGTGTAGTCATCTCAGTGTGGTGTGTAGTCGTCTCAGTGTTGGTGTAGTCGTCTCAGTGGTGGTGTAGTCGTCTCAGTGTTGGTGTAGTCGTCTCAGTGGTGGTGTAGTCGTCTCAGTGGTGGTGTAGTGATCTCAGTGGTGGTGTAGTCGTCTCAGTGGTGGTGTAGTCATCTCAGTGGTGGTGTAGTGGTCTCAGTGGTGGTGTAGTGGTTTCAGTGGTGGTGTAGTCTCAGTGGTGGTGTAGTCGTCTCAGTGGTGATAATGAGTCGTGAGAGCCTGGTGAAGAGTGTGGTGTCCACCTACGAGAAGCTGAAGACTGAGTGGTCTAAGAAGACCAGGAACCTGGACGCCTGTGGCAAGTTCCTCTCTGATATTAAGGTTCGTTCCTCTCCTGCTTTCTCCTCTGTGTATATTAGTATAAATTTTTTTCAAGGGGGTGGAGGGGGTAAGCCAGTGGAAGGCCTCTGTCAGATGACCAAAAGGCTCCAGCTGCAGGTCAGGAAACACTTGTCCTGTTTCCTGTTGCCTAATCAGTTATATTTCCTTTATTCCTGGTATATATCGTTTTATTGTAACTGATTTTCACACAGTTGAGTTACTTAGCTGTTTTAACTTTTAAGGTTTAAATAATAAGATATTACAAAGACCCCAGTGGAAATAGGTCACTTTGACTGTGGGTTATCCTGGGTAATTTACATATATGCTGCTTTGTATGATACTTTATGTAACTGTATTTATGTATGAAGAGAAGTTGCAGAGATTGGTGGATGAATTTGGTAGGGTGTGCAAAAGAAGAAAATTAAAGGTGAATACAGGAAAGAGTAAGGTTATGAGGATAACAAAAAGATTAGGTGATGAAAGATTGAATATCAGATTGGAGGGAGAGAGTATGGAGGAGGTGAACGTATTCAGATATTTGGGAGGGACGTGTCAGCGGATGGGTCTATGAAAGATGAGGTGAATCATAGAAATGATGAGGGAAAAAGGGCGAGTGGTGCACTTAGGAGTCTGTGGAGACAAAGAACTTTGTCCTTGGAGGCAAAGAGGGGAATGTATGAGAGTATAGTTTTACCAACGCTCTTATATGGGTGTGAAGCGTGGGGGATGAATGTTGCAGCGAGGGAGAAGGCTGGAGGCAGTGGAGATGTCATGTTCGAGAGCAATGTGTGGTGTGAATATAATGCAGAGAATTCGTAGTTTGGAAGTTAGGAGGAGGTGCGGGATTTCCAAAACTGTTGTCCAGAGGGCTGAGGAAGGGTTGTTGAGGTGGTTCGGACATGTAGAGAGAATGGAGCGAAACAGAATGACTTCAAGAGTGTATCAGTCTGTAGTGGAAGGAAGGCGGGGTAGGGGTCGGCCTAGGAATGGTTGGAGGGAGGGGGTAAAAAGGGGGTTTTGTGTGCGAGGGGCTTGGACTTCCAGCAGGCATGCGTGAGTGTGTTTGATAGGAGTGAATGGAGACAAATGGTTTTTAATACTTGACGTGCTGTTGGAGTGTGAGCAAAGTAACATTTATGAAGGGGTTCAGGGAAACCGGCAGGCCGGACTTGAGTCCTGGAGATGGGAAGTACAGTGCCTGCACTCTGAAGGAGGGGTGTTAATGTTGCAGTTTAAAAACTGTAGTGTAAAGCACCCTTCTGGCAAGACAGTGATGGAGTGAATGATGGTGAAAGTTTTTCTTTTTCGGGCCACCCTGCCTTGGTGGGAATTGGCCAGTGTGATAATAAAAAATAATAAAAATAATTTATGTATACCTGTATCTAAATAAACTTACACATTTTTTATTTCATTTATAATAGGAATTAAAAAATGTGTACTAATTAATATTTCTTCCTGGGGAGGGGAAATTTTTGATGTGATTGGTTGTTTCTATAAAAGAAAAAACACTTTTTCTTATAGGTGGAGCTAACTAAGCTTCAGTTCTTGCCATCAATGGGTCACAGTGTGTCGAAGGAGGAGCTTTTGGTTGCTCGTAAGTATCTATGCAGATTAATATGTATGTAGCAATAAGAGATAATATGCAAATATAACTTCAACAGCTTATGGTGAATAATTATAATATTAGTACAGTACATTTTAGATAAAGCCGGCATTCTTACCATTATTAACTGCATAAGATTAACTTGTAGTCAATTCTGGGTGTCTTTTCCTCAGCTGAAGTTCCAGATGTGGCTTTCTGATTGACAGCTGTACTTTTCCAGTGAAAAGTAGGGAATAGACACACTATAAGATAACTAAGTGTAAAGAGCCCAAGACTTTTCAAAACCTTCCTTTCATTTACAAGGGGAAATTACTAACAGACTTCTAGCTGTCTTCAACAGGGGACTGAAGAGGTTCAAGGCAGTTTGTGATAAAAGCTGTTAAATATTTTACCAAAAAAAAATTGTGTGAAATATTATATCTTGCATGATAATTAGGTAATGACAGCATATTGATGACAGTGCCAGTGTTCAAACACTGACCACTTGGTTCCATTGCTTTTAAAATCATGTGAAACAAATCTAATTACTCCATATAAACTGTTTACTCCCCCCCACTGTGGTAGTCTCCCACCAAGGTAAGGAGACCCCAAAAAAAGGAAACAGTCATGCAATATATCTTGCCAGAAGTGTGTAATCACAGTTCCAGTGACTCTGAACTGCAACTTCCTCCAACCCTTCCCCACCAAGTTGCAGGCACTGTATTACCCACTTCTTTCCCAGAGTGCACATAACCAGTTTCTTGGTTAAATAGCCAGTGGTTACGCAAAATGACTACTTAGTGACCTGGTTCTGCCATTACACTTTGTTCCCTTTTGTTGCTGTTTTTCATAAATAATTGAACTGTTGTATTATTATTGTTTGCATCAGTTTATTATTTACTGGCTCTTCTTTATGTACTGTTTTTAGAATTGCTGATCCTTTTGTCTTAATGTTTATTTTCTTCCAGGAAACACCCTTGAGATTGGAGCCCTCTGGAGCATTGCCAATAAGAATATTCCATCATTTGAGCGGTATATTGCCATGCTTAAGATATACTACATGGATTACAGGTTGGTACTCTGGTACAAATGACTCAAGCCAGTAGCAGTAATTAATACCACAAGTTCTATGTATCCTTTGTTGCCATTTGAGAATTAAAAGAATATTACTAGCAATATTTTATATATCATAATTTCACCGGTTAAGAGGCAAATTCTTTCATAAAATATTTGATACTATGACGTATGTTAAAGAATTTTTTTCTATTTGTTGTTTGAAAGTGAAAGCATAGCGGTGTAGATCTAATTTGCTTTGAGAGGTGCTAATGCAACAGTTAAACTTACAGAAAGTGTAGGAGGAACAAACGACATGCTCAGTTAAAAAAAGATGGTGCAAACACCAGCACAATTATTAGAAAATGTTTCAGTCCTGGGATGTTGTCCTGGGACCTTGATTAGTGATGTGCTAATCGCTGACACCATACAACATAGTACTGGAAGCTACAAAATTTCAAAAATAGTGGCATACATGATACTCCACTAGGCAAAGCACCACCTGCCTAAAAACACAAGAATCATCTGACCTCGTTGTCTACCTGACCTCATTGTCTACCTGACCTCATTGTCTACCTGACCTCATTGTCTACCTGACCTCATTGTCTACCTGACCTCATCTCAGATATGTCATTTTTCAGGTAACTTCGTCACTCACACCCAGCTCTTCAGCATTATATATTGTTAAAGTAATCAGTCCCAGGACCAAAACGTTTTCTAATAAATATGTCCTAGTTTTTGCTCACGTGTCTTTTTAAACCAAGGATGACTTAAGTTAATCCCATATATCAGAAACCTCTCCTACAAGGACAGAGTTAGGGTAGTGAATTTTCACTTTCTAGAAAGGCATAGAATTAGGGGGATATGGTTGAAATATTCAAATGGAAGATAAGAATAAATAAAAGGCTGTAAATAACTTGCTGAAAATACCTTACCTAGTCAGGACTCGTGGGAATGAGTCCTGACTAAAAAGAATACAGAATGTAGAAGGGATATAGAAAAGTACTGGTTTGGTAATAGAGTTGTGGATGAGTGGAACAAACTTGCAAATACCATTTTTCATGTGAGTACTTGGGATAGCTTTAAAACTAAATTGGACAAGCATACAAATGGATGTGGGTGGGTGTGAAATGGACCTGCCTAGCATGGGCCCATAGGCCTGATGCAATGCTTCTTATGTTCTTTTTACTATATATTACAGGGAGCAACTACCAGAGTCCCCATACATGTACGAACTACTTGGACTCGACTTACTGTGTCTCCTTGCACAGAACAAGGTTGGAGAGTTTCACACCACTCTAGAGCACCTTCCCCCACCAGCTGTCACTGACAATGTGTACATCCGACACCCAGTTGCAATGGAGCAGTATCTGATGGAGGGAGCATACAATAAGGTACAATGTTCTTTTGTCACACTTTATTGTAAGATTTAAAGGTTTAGGGCATGGGTTCCTAAACTGTCATACATGTACTCCCAAGGATATGTGAGTGAGTTTTAATGTGTGTTTTTATTGTCATCATTGATTTTTTAATGTGTTTATTATCAGTATTTTATAGACACATGAAGTTTCTAAAGTTTGAGACAACCTTATATAATAAACAAACTTCAGTGTTATACTCGCACAAAGGTACGTACGTCATGTACAGTATATTACAGTTTTAGCACTCCCCCATAAATGTAATGATTATCTTTTGTAGGAATATCAGTAGCTGGAGTTGAGTCCTGGAAATGGGAAGTACAATGCCTGCACTTTAAAGAAGGGGTTTGGGATATTGGCAGTTTGTAGTGACATCTAAGCTGTTGTATCTGAGTGCCTCTGCAAAGACAGTGATTATGTATGAGTGATGGTTTAAGTGTTGAATTTTGATGAAAGTTTTTTCTTTCTTTTTGGGTCACCCTGCCTCGGTGATAAATGGCCGACATGTTAAAAAAAATCAGTAGCCAATGTCAGGTGGGCATCAGCACCATAATGGCACTGCTGTTCCTGACTGAGCACTGCTCTGATGCAGTAGCACTTGCTCCTTGACAGTATATAAGAGGAATTTGCAGGTTTTGTGATAACTCCACTTCCCCCTGATACTCATGATGCTGTACCACTGACTAAAATTTGGTCACATAAAACAGTCATGTCCCCTTCACCCTAGTTGCCATAATGACCCAAACATTTCCCACATTGTATCTATGTGAGCATGGATTCTCTGTTAGGTGCATCATTCAGACCAAATTTCATGCTAGGCTCTTTTTAAAGGATGATCTCAGGGCTGGTGCTGTCAAGACCAGCACCCAGAATTAAAGCCTTGGCTTTAACTATTTCTATTTATTCCTATATTAGCATCTTTATTTAAAAAATGTGTTTGCCTTATCTCTTAATGTAAAATAATATTTCCTGCAAGTCTCTATTATGATGTTGCAGATAGTTCGTGGTAACAATTTATACTTGAATAAACAAAGCTATTGTTTTGTAAGTTATCTTTTTTCCTTTAAGACCTATATTGTTGTACATCAGAGTTGTATGCAGTACTATTAACATTTATGAGTATATTGTTCTGTCTATATGGATTCATCTCGTACATTATTTCTAGAAAGTTGTATTTCACATTTATACAAAGTGATACACAGTTGATAAATTCAGAACATCATGGGTTACACAATCAACATAAGTTTAGGAGTCGCTGCTTTAGGGGATGGTACCTTGTACAGTAACGTGAAACTGTGTCTACCACATATAGTACTGTAAAGAGAAATAAAAGTTGTAATCCCATGATTGGAACTATTCACAATTAGCCCACAATTTGGAGAGGACACTGTATATTACATTTTGGTCTCCGGATTTTTATCAAATCATTTGATATGGTCCAAGGCAGACTGAAGCATCCTTTAAAGTTTCCTCTAAATAGTGGGTTAGTTGAGTGTAGTCTTGTACTGTACTAGGAATTGGAAAGATTTTTTACATGATTTCATTTCTGCATGATTGGATTGGCACATAAAACTTGAATTATGGCATAAAATCAAATCCATCAGGATTGAATGTTTCACTGGAGTGGTTTTATGATGCTTGGCACATGGTCGCACTAGCCTTTCTTTTGCAGTAATCTTGCAGACCCTCTTTACCTTAATTTGTCACCTCATACCACTTCTGTTTTATTTCTTATCACCTAAAGTCACTTTAATTTTACTTGTCTCTTACTGCTTTGAGAATATGAGAGAGCAAGAGAGCTAGTGTGAGACAAGAGTACAAGTTCAAAAGAAAGCTGTTTTGTGTGGCTTTATTTCATTCTATTATTAAAATTCTTTTAACTGTGTATGACAAAAATATTTTTGTTGGATTTTCAAAGGGCTGAGATGTTCTCTAATGTTTCTACTCTAAGTATGGGTTATGATTAATTAAAAAGGGAAGAAATGACAGAGTAACCCCTCTGTCTCTCACTCTCTCTGTATCCCCTGTCTGTCTCTATCTAACTCACTTGCTTCCTAATTAAATATTTTAAACTGTTTTGGAACTAATTAATTGACCATGTTTCCCATTTTAGTTTTCTAATCCTAAAACCCAGTCACAGTTGTTAGTCCATCATTATGATAATAAAACACAGCTTAAGGTAAAAACAGAACTCATTAACACTTGTATGGTGAAGTATTATCTAATAGATTTTCTATCCTCTTGCATTTTATTAATGCTGGTGCAGTTGAATAATTATCTTGTACACCTCTTAGAATGTCACATTCAAATGGCTAGAGAAATTTAAAATCAACTCACAATCTGGAAATGGTAAAAGATTTCTTGTTTTGGTTCATTTTGGATTAATCTCTATGTGGTAATGGGCATCTTGGGTGAACTAGTTTCCATTTTTAGTTTGTGGACTATAGTAGTTGTGACTTGTAGCTTCTCATATATTTCTTAAAAATATCGTGTATAGTATAGTTTTTGTAGCATTTATTCTGATTATTTTTCTATAAAATGAACCAGTTTACATTTTTCACATTTTTGACTTTATTATCAGTGACTAAAAGTGGTGTGCTTTCAACAGATCTATTTGGCAAAAGGAGAAGTTCCTGCAGAAGGCTACAAATTCTTCATAGAAGAGTTATTAGCCACCATTCGGGAAGATATTGCTGACTGTGTTGAGAATGCCTACGACAGAATCAGACCTGAAGACATTGGGAAAATGTTATATTTATCTAGCACGAAGGAAATACTCCAATATTGTGAGCAGGTATGTTGTGCAGCATTTGCAGATGCTGTGTGTATAATTTACTCCACTTTCAGGAGGGTGATCTTCAGTCCCTACCATTTAACTTTAACTTTAATTATCTATTGTATTTATATGAATAAGTAATACAAATTTTATGAAAAAGACGATAAATAAACATACAAGGTATGATATAGCATATAATGAAAGTAGTTTGTTAGATTATATATTGGTGGATAAAAGGTTGATATACACGTTTATAGAGGGGCAACTGATATATCGGATCATTATTTAGTTGTAGCTACAGTTAGAGTAAGAGGTAGATGGGACAAAAGGAAAATGGCAACAACAAGTAAGAGAGAGGTGAAAGTGTGTAAACTAAGGGAGGAAGAAGTTCGGGTGAGATATAAGCAACTATTGGCAGAAAGGTGGGCTAGTGCAAGTATGAGTAATGTGGGGGTTGAAGAGGGTTGGAATAGTTTTAAAAATGCAGTATTAGAATGTGGGGCAAAAGTTTGTGGCTATAGGAGGGTGGGTGCAGGAGGAAAGAGGAGTAATTGTTGGAATGATGAAGTAAAGGGTTTGATAAAAGAGAAAAAAGTAGCTTATGAGAGGTTTTTACAAAACAGAAGTGTTATAAGAAGAGCAGAGTATATGGAGAGTAAAAGAAAGGTAAAGAGAGTGGTGAGAGAGTGTAAAAGGAGAGCAGATGATAGAGTGGGAGAGGCACTGTCAAGAAATTTTGATGAAAACAATAAACAATTTTGGAGTGAGATAAACAAGTTAAGAAAGCCTAGGGAATGAATAGATTTGTCAGTTAAAAACAGAGTAGGGGAGATGGAGGTATTGGGTAGATCGCGGGAATATTTTGAGGAACTTTTAAATGTCGACGAAGAAAGGGAGGCGGTAATTTCATGCACTGGCCAGGGAGGTATGCCATCTTTTAGGATTGAAGAAGAGCAGGATGTGAGTGCGAGGGAGGTGCGTGAGGCATTACATATAATGAAAGGGGGTAAAGCAGCTGGAACTGACGGGATCATGACAGAAATGTTAAAAGCAGGGGGAGATATAGTGTTGGAGTGGTTGGTATTTTTGTTTAATAAATGTATGAAAGAGGGGAAGGTACCTAGGGATTGGCAGAGAGCATGTATAATTCCTTTATATAAAGGGAAGAGGGACAAAAGAGATTGTAAAAATTATAGAGGAATAAGGTTACTGAGTATACCAGGAAAAGTGTATGGTAGGGTTATTATTGAAAGAATTAGAGGCAAGACAGAATGTAGGATTGTGGATGAGCAAAGAGGTTTTAGAGTGGGTAGGGGATGTGTAGATCAAGTGTTTACATTGAAGCATATATGTGAACAGTATTTAGATAAAGGTAGGGAAGTTTTCATTGCATTTATGGATTTAGAAAAGGCATATGATAGAGTGGATAGGGGAGCAATGTGGCAAATGTTGCAAGTACAGTAGGGCCCCACTTATACGGCGGGTTAGGTTCCAGGCTATCGCCGGAAAGCAGAACGCCATTTTTTTAATTTATAAATGCACATAAATGCCAGACAACAGGTTTACATTAAATTATATTGAGTTAGTAATAGAACTAGGCATTAAAAAACACAAAAAGTAAAATATATACACAGTACATTCATTACTTATCTTAAAGTATTTTTAATCTTAATGTAGGGTGAGAGGTGAGTAGTACTTATTTGTAGGAAGTCAGGTGCAGGTAGCCCTGGCTCCCCGTCTCATACTTAATATACGTTATTTAAAACATCCCAGTACACTCACTATTTACCTTTAAAATACAGTGGACCCCCGCATAACGATTACCTCCGAATGCGACCAATTATGTAAGTGTATTTATGTAAGTGCGTTTGTACGTGTATGTTTGGGGGTCTGAAATGGACTAATCTACTTCACAATATTTCTTATGGGAACAAATTCGGTCAGTACTGGCACCTGAACATACTTCTGGAGTGAAAAAATATCGTTAACCGGGGGTCCACTGTATGTGTAGTCTTAATGTAGGAAGAGAGGTGAGTAGTATTTATTTGTAGGAGGTCATTGTAGGTAGCCGGTAGGTGTAGCCCGCCTGGGCTACACCGGCTACCTACACTGACTTAAAATAAAGACTCCTTGCTTTATAATATTATCTGGCCATGAATTATTGATTTATTTTGAGTTGATCTTCACCTGTTGTTACTAACGGGTCTCCTCCCTGAAAAGACTCAAAACGTAACAGCAATCACTTGGTCAGGCGAAAAAATGCGTATTAATATGTGTCTACTTGTAGTTCATTGATGTACGTCTGTCAGAGTTTGTAAAACATTTACCTCACGATATTTTTTTTTTTATTATAATAATAATTACCTCACAATACAAATACTCTTACATTGTGTACAAGTTGTACAAGTTAGTACAGAATAAACACAACAGCAACACTCCCATCCTCATGCAACACACCATTTTTAGAGTGACTGAAGATATTATTATTATCATCATAATAAAAAAGCGCTAAACCCACAAGGTTCATGAATTGCTATATATAGCGACGGCATACGAAAGGAATATTTTTCTAGTTATCCCCTAGAGTTTGACAAGAGAAAACATAATTCTTCCCACACTACCTACACAGCCGCTTGGTAAACAAATCTCGTATTTACGTCGATTTTTATTCTGTGAGTGTATGTATCATGTAACGGGTTTCATATACAATTTTGTAACGGGTTTCATATATAATTTTGAGGAAAATACCATAGATGGCTTAATGCAAATATCTATATTAATGTAAAATAACACATTTAATGCGCCCAAGAGTGATTATTATTACGTAGTATTGGCGTCATGAGTAGAGAGAGACTTAGCAATTTTGATGTGTACCTGCACACCAGCACAGTGTGTAAATATATTTAAGTACAGGTACACATAAGTATAATTATCAGAGTACATATAAAATGTGCAATATCTTTAAAACGCTTGAAATTTTGGAAAGTTTCCAGACATCATAGATGTGGTCATGGAGAATGTAAACAAACCAGGTGGGGCGCTCTGTATTTGAAAGACCGCTTGCCGTATAGCAAATTTTGGTTATAATTTGACATCGCCGTATTAGCGGAACGCTGTAAAGTGGGGCCCTACTGTATGTGGAATAGGTAGTAAGTTACTAAATGTTGTAAAGAGTTTTTATGAGGATAGTGAGGCTCAGGTTAGTGTGTGTAAAAGAGAGGGAGACTACTTCCTGGTAAAGGCGGGCCTTAGACAGGGATGTGTAATGTCACCATGGTTGTTTAATATATTTATAGATGGGGTTGTAAAAGAAGTAAATGCTAGCGTGTTCGGGAGAGGGGTGGGATTAAATTATGGGGAATCAAATACAAAATGGGAATTGACACAGTTACTTTTTGCTGATGATACTGTGCTTATGGGAGATTCTAAAGAAAAGTTGCAAAGGTTAGTGGACGAGTTTGGGAGAGTGTGTAAAGGTAGAAAGTTGAAAGTGAGCATAGAAAAGAGTAAGGTGATGAGGGTATCAGATAATTTAGATAAAGAAAAATTAGATATCAAATTGGGAGGAGGAGTATGGAAGAAGTGGATGTTTTCAGATATTTGGGAGTTGACGTGTCAGCAGATGGATATATGAAGGATGAGGTTAACCATAGAATTGATGAAGGAAAAAAGGTGAGTGGGGCATTGAGGTATATGTGGAGACAAAAAACATTATCTTTGGAGGCAAAGAAGGGAATGTATGAAAGTATAGTAGTACCAACACTTATATGGGTGTGAAGCTTGGGTTGTGAATGTAGCAGCGAGGAGACGGTTGGAGGGAGTGGAGATGTCCTGTCTAAGGGCAGTGTGTGGTGTAAATGTTATGCAGAGAATTCGGAATGTGGAAATTAGGAGAAGGTGTGGAGTTAATAAAAGTATTAGAGGGCTGAAGAGGGGTTTGGTCATAAAGTAGAATGACGTGGAAAGCGTTTAAATCTGTAGGGGAAGGAAGGTGGGGTAGGGGTCGTCCTCGAAAAGGTTGGAGGGAAGGGATAAAGGAGGTTTTGTGGGCGAGGGGCTTGGCCTTCCAGGAAGCATGCGTGAGCGTGTTAGATAGGAGTGAATGGAGACGAATGGTATTTGGGACCTGACGAGCTGTTGGAGTGTGAGCAGGATAATATTTAGTTTAGGGATTCAGGGAAACTGGTTATTTTTATATAGCTGGACTTGAGTCCTGGAAATGGGAAGTACAATGCCTGCAGTTTAAAGGAGGGGTTTGGGATATTGGCAGTTTGGAGGAATATGTTGTGTATCTTTATACGTATATGCTTCTAAACTGTTGTTCTGGGCACCTCTGCAAAAACAGTGATTATGTTTGAATAAGGTGAAGGTGTTGAATGATGATGAAAGTATTTTCTTTTTGGGTATTTTCTTTCTTTTTTGGGTCACCCTGCCTCAGTGGGAGATGGCCAACTTATTAAAAAAAAATTATACGAATCTTGTTATTGTGTCGTCTGTTACCTCATTCAGCTTCACTGTTAATGATATGCTTCCAGATGTTAGACTAGATTGTATACAGTAGTCATCATCCATCTGTGTCCCCTAGTTCTGGATACTTTTCTGGTAAAATGCCCAACCTCTCAGTGCCCCAAATATTTATCATGTGATCATGTCATCTACATGTACTGCTGCTCTTTGTACTGATAAACTAATGAGGATTTCCTTTGGCAAATACTGTACATACAAATGAGAAAGAAGGTAAGAAATGAAGTATGGAGAGGCAAGTGTAAAGGGGGAAGGGGGAGAATAGAAGACAAATAATTAGGAAACTGTGTTTACTGAATGGGCATTTAATGGGGAACAGAGCAGACCAAGCAGCAGCATCTTGGAGAATGGCCAAAGTAAAGAACCGTCATTGGTGAAAGGAATACTGCCTTGTTGCTTAGCCCACAGTAGAACTTCCATGGGTAACAGACCAGCCTATCTACTACCTAGATTCTCCGCTCCTTCTGGATTTGTTATGAATCGTTACCAGTAAATTATTTTATCGATAATCTTTATGAGGGGCATTTTTATATGAAAATTTAATTTTATAGAATTCTTATGTAAATTGGATTTAAGGGCTGTTATTACCAAGGTTCAAGTGTGAACATCATTACTCAGGTTTGCGGTTCCTCATGTATATGACGATACTTTAATGAAACCTGTGTAAGAAGTGGTTTTTCATTTACAGCGTGGTTGGCAGGTGGGAAGTGATGGTTACTTGCACTTCAAGAAAGAGGTGCGGAAAAGCGATGACAGCATCCCTTCCAAAGAACTGGCACGTCAAATGATCAATTATGCTCGGGAGATGGAACAAATTGTATAAAATTAAAAAAAATTCCAGTCGTACGTATTTTTTGCTAATATATTTCTTGTACCATATGTTTCTGATTGATCAAGTACGATGCTATTTTTATTTTTACTTTCCCCGATTTTGGATACACTTGAATTTAAATTTGAATGTCACATTAAATATTCTATGTATACTGGATTTGTAATAAAATTCTATTACTCTATATAGGCTTTTATTAACTGCATATAATTTTTTCTCCATGGGGAAGTGAAACAAAATTCTTCCTCCGTAAGCCATGTGTGTTTTAAGAAGCGACTAACATGCCAGGAGCAAGGGGCTAGTAACCCCTTCTCCTGTATACATTACTAAAATTAAAAAGAGAAACTAATATTTTTCTTTTTTGAGCCACCCTGTCTTGGTGGGATACAGCCAGTTTGTTGAAAGAAGAATTTTTTTATTTAGTATTACAATATTTTGGTAGTAGACTAAACCTACTCTTTCAGTTTTGCTTTTAGACAATGTTTTTATTTTTGTCAAAAATGGAAAATTCTAAATTTTCAAAATACTGTACAATAATCTTGTTCAGAGCCTATCTATAAAGCCAATCATATTTCAACATTGTGCACACAATTTATCAAATTAGGCTTGTTATATACAGCCTACTTAATTATAGGCCTTTCTTTGGCTTAAACCCAGTTACCTCTCATTCCTCAGGTGCTGTATGACCCCCACAGGTTTAGTCTCTCGTATGAATATAATATGGGGCATAAATTTGTATATCAGCTATGCACTTACTCATCTATTTGGGATTCCAGAGGTAGAGTTCTAGCTCCTGGCCCCACCACTCAGCTTGCTGCTTGCCATGTTTACTAGCCTATTGGACACTATCATACCTGCTCTTGAAACTATGAATGGAACCTGGCTCCCACTTTTTCATTGTGGGCATTCCACTTCCTGACTACCCCAAGACTGACAGAGAAGTTAAAGACCTGAACATCCATCAGGCTTATCTGTGTCTTTAACTTCCAGGTGTGCCTCCGGGTGCCTGTTTCAAGTCTCAAACATGCTATTTCTGTCTACCCAGTCAAATCCTCTTGAGTATTTTGTACGTATGTGTCGTCCCTGGTTTTTCTGTCCTCTTGTGCCATCAGATTAACCCATTGAGGGTTTCAGCCGTACTAGTACGGCTTACGAACCAGGGTTTTTGACGTACTAATACACCTAAATTCTAGCGCCCTCAGATCTAGTGGGAGAAAGCTGGTAGGCCTACATATGAAAGAATGGGTCTATATGGTCAGTGTGCACAGTATAAAAAAAATCCTGCAGCACACAGTGCTTAATGAGAAAAAAAAAACTTTGACCGTTTTTTTTGGAATAAAACAGCGACTTTGCACTGTTTTCTCATATGGTATTTAGTGTTGTATTCTAGTTTTCTTGGTCTCGTTTTATAGAATGGAAACATATTTCAGAAACTGAGATGATTTTGACTGGTTTTACAATGAAAAGTACCTTGAAATTGAGCTCAAAGTAGCAGAAATGTTCGATTTTTACCAAAGTTCAAAAGTAAACAAATCATGCCAAGCGTCCAATACACGTCAACTGGTGAGTCTAATATTCTTTCGTAAGTGCGCCAATATTATTCATACCATTTTTTACACTAATGCAGTAGTCTGCATAACAGTAAATCTTCTATTTTTTGTGAGAATAAAAATTCCAAGTGGAAAGCAAAAGAATGTAAGAGGGGTCTTGAGACGTGACTAATGAACAGAGGAAATGTCATTTTAGTGCCAGGAATGTCTTTCTTGTTTATTCTGGACCCTACATATTTGGAAATTGGCATCTTTTGAAATTTGTGTGAAATTGGCAAAATTGCTAAATTCTGACCACTGTACTGGATAGTTGAAATTGGTAAATGGGTGGTTTCTTGCACTCATTCGATAGAAAAAAAAATGGAGTTCTAGCGAAATATTCATGTTTTTTGTCGACTAGTACAGTGGAATTGGGCGAAAATGGGGCTCAAAGTGGGCAAAATCGCCGATCCATGAACATCGCCGAGACCGCTAACTTCGCGAGAGCATAATTCTGTAAGTTTTCCATCAAATTTCATACTTTTGGTGTCATTATGATCAGGAAAAGATTCTCTATCTTTTCATAAGAATTTTTTTTTTTTTTTTTTTTTTAAATTTGGCCGACCCTGAGAACGAGTCTCGGAGAGGGCCTGTCAACCCTCAAAGGGTTAAATTTCCTTAGCTTCTTCTCATAGCAAATGGCCTTATTTCTGGAACTAGTCTCATTGCATACCTCTTCACTTTTTCTAGCTTCTTAACTTGCTTTCTCAGGTGTGGGTTTCCTGCCAGCAACACATAATCCAAGATGGGTCTGATATATGCTGTATAAAAGGTTCAGAATGACTTTGAAGAGGTACCTGATGGCTACTCATAGATATGCCAGATGAACGTTAGCCATGTTATATTGTCATCTTTTGCTGATCTAACTTTCAAGGAAATTGGGGGGGGGGTTACCTTGAAGCCAGTAAAGGACCCCTGATCCTAGGAATTCCAGGTATACTTCATTTTCTTGGATCAAACCTGATTAGCTCTTATTTCCCAAGCACAACTTGAGTTCAAGCACTTCCCTATGAATATAGTAATAAGAGTATATTGGTTGTCTGTTAAACATATCTGGTAAAGTTTTTTTTTTTTTTTTAGATTTACACCCTCTAAAGGTTTCAAATATTTGAAATTGAGAGAGATTTAAGAATTACATACTTTATTAATGTAGTACAGTATTATCTGAATTTTTGTATTTAGTAGCATCATGACACTTCAAATTAGACTTATGGTTTAGTATGAAGGTTTTAGACATAGCATCCAATTCATTGAAGATGGATCAAGTGAAGAAACAAAACTAATCAAATGAGGAGAAAGTCTGTCGTTGAATTAAAAATACCTATTAACAAGTGGAACATTGTTTTACATTAGGTTGCTCTGCATATAGTGTCTTCTTACCATATTGATTCAAGGAATTTTAGCATCCCTCTTTTTCCCAGTCAAACCTGTTACAACTGGGTGCTTGTGATATATCTTATTAGCACATAAGAACATAAAGGAAAACACTGCAATAGGCCTGTTGGCCCATACTAGGCAGGTCCTTCACAAATCCAACCCACTAACAGAATAAACACTCCCCAAGCAATAAACTTTGATAATTCTATTTACTCGCGTGCAAGTCCCACTCAGATCTAACCCCTCTCACTCGTGTATTTATCCAACCTAAATTTGAAACTACCCAAAATTTTAGCTTCGATAACCCTACTAGGCAGACCGTTCCACTCATCAACTACCCTATTACCAAGCCAGTACTTTTCTATATCCTTTTGAAATCTAAGCTTACTTAATTTGAATCCATTATTGCAGGTTCTCTCTCTTGGAGGGATATCCTCAAAACGTTATTTATATCTCCTTTGTTAATACCCATCTTCCACTTACACACTTCAATCATGTCTCCCGTCATTCTTCGTCTTACAAGTGAATGTAGTTTAAGGGTCTCCAATCTTTCTTCATAATGAAGATTTCTAATGCTATGTATTAATTTAGCCATTCTATGCTGAATGTTTTCTAACAAATTTATATCCATATGACCCATACAAGTTTAGTGTACATTTTTTGATATAATAATGTGGTAGTTCTACTCTATATTTTGTAACACAGCTACCCAATATATATGCACTGTACATATCTTCCATTGTGTAGTTACCTTTGTGACTGCATATGTGCAAGTATTCATCATGTGTTGAACAAGTATCAGATTTAGTTGTTCATAAGGAGAAAACATTTTCTTTTAGTGTAAACATTGTTCCAAAAGCAAAACTATTTTGGATTAATATCAATCATGCTTTAATTTCTTTGTCATATACATACAGTACAGTCATATATATTTATAACAGCTGAAAATCCTTAACTGTTATATACCATCATCAACATTGTCCTGAACATATTGCACATCCAAATATATGTCATTAAAATTATATATATTATATATTTTAGGTGCAGTTTGTTACTAAACACATTCGTAACTAAACTACAGAGAATACAGTAAGTCCACTACTTGTGGACACATTAAGAATCTTCTGTACTGTATATATGATTATTATATCATTATTGTGTATAATATTATTATATCATTATTATGCAAAATACAGAAAGTCCTCAACATATTTGTAAGTTGAAGACTTCCTGTATTATGAATATTATACACAATTCAGGAGGTCCTCAATGTGTTTGTACATTGAGGACTTTAATGTATTGGCATTAGATTCTTTGTGTAGAAAATTGCCAGATTTACAATGTTACAATCAATGCAATGGTTTAATTTGACCCGTGTATATGTGGTACATGGAAATAATCATTTGAAAATAATCATTCGATGATTTGTTCAGTAAAGAAAGGTAAACATTATTTAGCAGTGCTGGTTTTGTCACTTCTGACTTATGCCACTACTGAAGCTTTAATAACAAGATAATCATTTCTTTTGTATTATGAACATTATTAGATGTTTACACTTTGTTTATTTTTTGCCATTTTTGTCTGTGTTAATATCTGGGGATTTATAGTATTTGGTGCATGACCTCTGCTTAAATTTTATTCTTTTTGCTGGTTGCTTTGCCATGTATCAGAGGCAGTGAAATTAATCACTTTACTAATTTTGATCCAAGGAATTGGAGCTTACTTGCCTTAGATCAAACCTGATTACCTCTCATTCCCCAGACACTATGGACTGTGGTCTTTGGACGATTTGCAAGTGCAGTATTAATATCGTTATGATATCCTGTGTACTACGTGGCAACACTGACATACACAAGGTTGCCATTTATTTTTAATATAATAATATTTTATAAAAATAATTTGACAACTCCTTGCTTGATCAATACTTTTATCCAGGTTCCATTATTTTCCTACCTTGCATCCTGCTCAGGAAGTTTCTTAATGTTGGTGGGGGGATCTTGATCCAAGGAATCTGCTCTGTTCTCCTCTTCGAATTTTAACTTGATTGCCTCCCATGTTCCCCCGCATTGTATGGCCCCCTATGAGTTTAATGGTTTAGCGCTTCTATTATAATAATAATAATAAGAGTTTAGCACTCCCTAATAATATAATAATAATTTCTACTTTTAAATGTATTGTTTTAGAGATTTGCTACCTCATGAAGTTGTAGGTTTCTCATATATTCTATATTAACCCTTAAACGGTCCAAAGAGATCGACGTTCAAATTCGTAGTGCTACAAAAGTAGATCTACTTTTTTTTACATATTTTCAAATATAACAAAAAAAATGTAGATAAAAGTTTTTTTACACATTTTCAAATGTAAAACAAAAAAGAAGATCTACAATTTTTTACATACTCTCAGATGTTGAAAAAACGTATATATACGTTTGGACCATTTAAGGGTTAAAATACTTCCACATGTTTCATGTTCAATTGAGTGAGAAGGTAGCAATGGGTCATACAACGCACCATCCTTGTTAATTGTACTTTTAACAAATCGTTGCATTTGATTTTGATTCTCAATAGATCTGCAGTACTAGTGTCGCCTTTTCTACGCTCTTTTTTTTTATAAGACTGCTGAACCATGTGGTGAGTTACCACAATAAATGTCATTTATCTATGTTATTTTGGGCAGTGTTTGGCAATGTTACCAAGGAAACAAACTGGATGCTTTTTGTGCTACCACAAGTTCCATTTTTCTCTAATTCTTAAGTACTTGGTTGTGTTTTTGAGGAGACAGCCAGACCACTTCGCAAGTCAACACTTCGTTGATTTTCCCTTTTCTGTGGTTTTCATCAGATTTTTGATTGATACTGAGAGACTAAGTGTTCTGTGTATCACTGCCCCCTTAGTTCCACATTTCCCGTGATTCTTGACTGCTGCTTAGTGGTCTTCGTAAATTCTTTGTTTGACTGGTTGATACATAGCCCATTTTTTTCCCCCTTTTCCAAATTGTTTTACCATTCTGAGAAACTTTTAATTGAGGTTTTGGCTTTACCAACATTGCTCGAGCCTTTTTTAATTCCTTAATTGAAGGAACATATGAAGGACCTCTTGGCTTTGCATGCTGCTGTGCATTTCTATAGTTTGGATTGTCTGGTTGGGTTTCCAGTGAGGCAGTGGGATTTTGTTTGTGACTGTTTCTTTGTGATTTATTCTGTTGGTTACTGCTCTCTTCAATACATGGGCCAAGACCTAGACTTATTGCTCGCTTTTCCTGTGTTTTAATCTTTCCCTGAAGTTGTCGTATTATAGAAGAGAGAATTGGAGCACTTCTAGTTTGAGACTCATCTGTTTGATATAAAATTTCTGGATCACTTGGTAGCTCATTATCATTAAAATCCCTTTTCTCCAGGCTCTTGTTGTGTTTACTTCTTGATTCAGTTCTAGTTTTCGGGTAAAATTTCATCCCTGATTTTTGGTTCCTTTTTGGTTGAAGTTTTGGAAAGCATAGCCGGTCACGTGATAAGGCAATCAATTTTTTCCACTTTCCCAATGATCTTTGAGGCTTTCGTGCTTCCATTTCTGAAGAGGCAGATGAGCCCCTTGGCACTTCATCCTGCCCCACTGTATCATAGTTTGGCTGGTATGTTTGAGTTTCATCATCATCATCATCATCATCATCATCATCATCATCATCATCATTATTTATGTTCCTGTAATTCCCTGGCTTCCCTCTATTTTGTTGGTTACCATCAATACTTTGTCCATAACCTAGATTTTTTGATCGCTTTTCTCTTTTGTTACTCAAAGTTTTGGTTTCTAACAGTGATTCCTCATTGGCCAAATCCTCGTCTTCTTCTGTAATTTGACGTTTGAATCGCTTCAGTTCCATTTGGAGATTTCTGGGCACATTATTATACAGGGAATCTGAATTTGCTAATTTTTTTATATGTGTAGTCTCTTGAGTTGATGCAAGGATTTGTCCTGTGTTCCCAGCCTTTGGTTGTATCCTTCCCGGTGATAACACCTGATATTCCTCATGTAATTTGCCAGTGATCTTGTCACTGGTGAGTTGATCAACATTCTTTTCACTGATGAGTTGTCTGCAATGAAGAAATGGTTGTGTAAGTCCAGATTCTTTTTTTACCTTTGGTTTTATAAGTAGTCTCAGTTATGCTATTTTTTATATATTCAACAGTTGCATAATAACAGCAAGGAAAGAATAAATCATAAAACAATAGTAATGTCTTGTTATGAAAAAAATGTATTGCACCTCGGTAACCCACCTTCCTGTTGTCACTTTGGGAAGTAAATCACCTGGAACCAGCTGGGGGATCTCTGGAGCTGACATCACCTTCCTTCTCACCACTGGCAGGACTGAACCACCTGCCACACACACCCACATCACCAGCTGTCAGAACATAAACTACTCAGTTGGTAGCTAGTGGATAATCCATACTTGCAAACACACAAATCTCTTGTATTTTTTCTCACAATTCAGTACTCCCTATTGCTCTCCAAATGAGGTGCTTTGTTGCTGTGAAGGACTCAATCTAAATAACCTGAAGTTGCCATCTCCTTCATCAGATCAAACTTGATTATCTCCCATTTCCCAGGTACAATATGACCCTTTCAAATTTAACACTATCCCATTGAACACAAAAATATCAAAATACCTTCCAAAAATAAAATATTAAATAAATAATTACACTGTACGTACTTTATATCCACAAGATGCATAATATTTACAAGTTTGGATAACGTCTATTAGTAACCATAAAAAGTATGCATTTATTAGTAACCATGGAAAGTATTTTGAACACACTAATGCACCGTGGTTGTTTAATATATTTATAGATGGGGTTGTAAAAGAAGTAAATGCTAGGGTGTTCGGGAGAGGGGTGGGATTAAATTATGGGGAATCAAATTCAAAATGGGAATTGACACAGTTACTTTTTGCTGACGATACTGTGCTTATGGGAGATTCTAAAGAAAAATTGCAAAGGTTAGTGGATGAGTTTGGGAATGTGTGTAAAGGTAGAAAGTTGAAAGTGAACATAGAAAAGAGCAAGGTGATGAGGGTATCAGATGATTTAGATAAAGAAAAATTGGATATCAAATTGGGGAGGAGTATGGAAGAAGTGAATGTTTTCAGATACTTGGGAGTTGGCGTGTCGGCGGATGGATTTATGAAGGATGAGGTTAATCATAGAATTGATGAGGGAAAAAAAGGTGAGTGGTGCGTTGAGGTATATGTGGAGTCAAAAAACATTATCTAGAATTTCTGAAGATGTACAATCAAGCACAAGGAATATCAAAGAGGTACTGGATAATTGTTACTGGTGTGATGCCTATGCTCATTACATTTTTCTGAGAATTGCCTGATTTCAGTATCAGCATTAAAGTGTTTAGAGCATATACACTGAACAGTAGTATATATGAATTGCATTTATATTAGTAGGTTTAGTTAGAGTTTGTGACTGTTCTGAGAGCTTCCTTTTCTTGAGTTACTTGCAGATTGATGTGAGTTGCCAAAGTGGTTTCACAGGCACAGATCCCTTAATGTGAAGTATGGGTGACAGTAAAGTATTAGAAGTGCAGGTTGCAGATCATAAAAGCAAATCTTGAAGAGTTTTCCTGCCATTATAGAGACTTGTTGATTTTTTTTTTTTTTTTTTTTAACAAGTTGGCCGTCTCCCACCGAGGCAGAGTCACCCAAAAAGAAAATACTTTCATCATTTCACACTTTCACCTCACTCACACATAATCACTGCTTTTGCAGAGGTGCTCAGAATACAGCAGTTTAGAAGCATGTATGTATAAAGATGCACAACATATCCCTCCAAACTGCCAATATCCCAAACCCCTCCTTTAAAGTGCAGGCATTGTACTTCCCATTTCCAGGACTCAAGTCCGGCTATATAAAAATAACTGGTTTCCCTGAATTTTTTTTTTTTTTTTTTTTTTCAACAAGTCGGCCGTCTCCCACCGAGGCAGGGTGACCCAAAAAAGAAAGAAAATCCCCAAAAGGAAAATACTTTCATCATCATTCAACACTTTCACCACACTCGCACATTATCACTGTTTTTGCAGAGGTGCTCAGAATACAACAGTTTTAGAAGCATACACATATAAAGATACACAACATATCCCTCCAAACTGCCAATATCCAAACCCCTCCTTTAAAGTGCAGGCATTGTACTTCCCATTTCCCGGACTCAAGTCCGACTATATGAAAATAACCGGTTTCCCCGAATCCCTTCACTAAAAATTACCCTGCTCACACTCCAACAGATCGTCAGGTCCCCAAATACCATTCGTCCTCCATTCACTCCTAATCTAACACGCTCACGCACGCTTGCTGGAAGTCCCAAACCCCTTACCCACAAAACCTCCTTACCCCCCCCTCTCCAACCCTTTCGAGGACGACCCCTACCCCCCCTTCCTTTCCCCCATAGATTTATATGCTTTCCATGTCATTCTACTTTGATCCATTCTCTCTAAATGACCAAACCACCTCAACAACCCCTCTTCTGCCTCTGACTAATACTTTATTAACTCCACAAACCCTTTTCCTAAATTTCCACACTCCGAATTTTCTGCATAATAGTTACACCCACAATTGCCCTTAAACAGGACATCTCCACTGCCTCCAACCGTCTCCTCGCTGCTGCATTTACCACCCAAGCTTCACACCCATATAAGAGTGTTGGTACTACTATACTTTCATACATTCCCTTCTTTGCCTCCATAGATAACGTTTTTGACTCCAATATACCTCAATGCACCACTCACCTTTTTTCCCTCATCAATTCTATGATTAACCTCATCCTTCATAAATCCATCCGCCGACACGTCAACTCCCAAGTATCTGAAAAATTCACTTCTTCCATACTCCTCCTCCCCAATTTGATATCCAATTTTTCTTTTATCTAAATCTTTTGACACCCCCTCACCTTTCTCTTTTCTATGTTCACTTTCAACTTTCTACCTTTACACACATTCCCCCAAAAATCACATAACCTTTGCAATTTTTCTTTAGAATCTCCCCTAAGACGTATCATCAGCAAAAACTACTGTGTCAATTCCCATTTTGAATTTGATTCCCCATAATTTAATCCCACCCCTCTCCCAAACACCCTAGCATTTACTTCCTTTACAACCCCATCTATAAATATATTAAACAACCATGGTGACATTACACATCCCTGTCTAAGACCTACTTTTACTGGGAAGTAGTCTCCCTCTCTTCTACACACCCTAACCTGAGCCTCACTATCCTCATAAAAACTCTGAATCCCTGAAACCCTGAATCCCTTCACTAAATATTACCCTGCTTGCACTCCAACAGCTCATCAGGTCCCAAATACCATTCGTCTCCATTCACTCCTATCTAACCCGCTCACACACACACTTGCTGGAAGTCCAAGCTCCTCGCTCACAAAGCCTCCTTTACCCCCTTCCTCCAACCTTTTCAAGGACGACCCCTACCCCGCCTTCCTTCCCCTACAGTTTTACGCTCTCCATGTCATTCTACTTTGATCCATTCTCTCTAAATGACCAAACCACCTCAACAACCCCTCTTCAGCCCTTTGACTAATACTTTTATTAACTCCACACCTCCTAATTTCCACACTGAATTTTCTGCATAATACTTACACCACACATTTCCCTTAGACAGGACATCCCCACTGCCTCCAACCGCCTCCTCGCTGCATCATTTACAACCCAAGCTTCACACCCATATAAGAGTGTTGGTACTACTATACTTTCATACATTCCCTTCTTTGCCTCCATAGATAACATTTTTTGTCTCCACATATACCTCAACACACCACTCGCCTTTTTTCCTTCATCAATTCTATGATTAACCTCATCCTTCATGAATCCATCCGCTAACACGTCAACTCCCAAATATCTGAAAACATTCACTTATTATATACTCCTCCTCCCCAATTTGATATCTAATTTTTCTTTATCAAAATCATTTGATACCCTCATCACCTTACTCTTTTCTATGCTCACTTTCAACTTTCTACCTTTACACACTCTCCCAAACTCGTCCACTAACCTTTGCAATTTTTCTTTGGAATCTTCCATAAGCACAGTATCATCAGCAAAATGTAACTGTGTCAATTCCCATTTTGTATTTGATTCCCCATAATTTAATCCCACCCCTCTCCCGAACACCCTAGCGTTTACTTCTTTTACAACCCCATCTATAAATATATAAAACAACCATGGTGACATTACACATCCCTGTCTAAGACCTACTTTTACTGGGAAGTAGTCTCCCTCTCTTCTACACACCCTAACCTGAGCCTCACTATCCTCATAAAAACTCTTTACAGCATTTAGGTACTTGCCACCTATTTCATGTACTTGCAACATCTGCCTCATTGCCCCCCTATCCACTCTATCATATGCCTTTTCTAAATCCATAAATGCAATAAAAACTTCCCCCTACCTTTATCAAAATACTGTTCACATATATGCTTCAGGACTTAATCTACACATCGCCTACCCACTCTAAAACCTCCTTGCTCATCCCCAATCCTACATTCTGTCTTTCCTCTAATTCTTTCAGTAATAACCCTACTGTACACTTTTCCTGGTATGCTCAGTAAACTTATTCCTCTATAATTTTTACAATCTCTTTTGTCCCCTTTCCCTTTATATAAAGGAATTATACATGCTCTCTGCCAATCCCTAGGTGCCTTCCCCTCTTTCATACATTTTTTTTTTTTTTCAACAAACCGGCGTATCCCACCAAGGCAGGGTGGCCCAAAAAGAAAAACGAAAGTTTCTCTTTTTAAATTTAGTAATTTATACGGGAGAAGGGGTTACTAGCCCCTTGTCTCCTGGCTTACGGAGGAAGAATTCTGTTCCACTTCCCCATGCATTTCATACATTTATTAAACAAAAATACCAACCACTCCAACACTATATCTCCCCCTGCTTTTAACATTTCTGTCATGATCCTGTCAGTTTCAGCTGTTTTACCCCCTTTCATTCTACATAATGCCTCACGCACCTCCCCCACACTCACATCCTGCTCTTCTTCACTCCTAAAAGTTGGTATACCTCCCTGGCCAGTGCATGAAATTACAGCCTCCCATTCTTCGTCGACATTTAAGAGTTCCTCAAAATATTCTCGCCATCTACCCAATACCTCCATCTCCCCATCTACTATCTCCCCTACTCTGTTTTTAACTGACAAATCCATTCGTTACCTAGGCTTTCTTAACTTGTTTAACTCGCTCCAAAATTTTTTCTTATTTTCATTAAAATTTCTTGACAATACCTCTTTCACTCTATCATCTGCTCTCCTTTTACACTCTCTCACCACTCACTTCACCTTTCATTTACTCTCCATATACTCTGCTCTTCTTATAACACTTCTGCTTTGTAAAAACCTCTCATAAGCTACCTTTTTCTCTTTTATCACACTCTTTACTTCATAATTCTGCCAATCACTCCTCTTTCCTCCTGCACCCACCCTCCTATAACCACAACTTTAACCCCACATTCTAATACTGCATTTTTAAAACTATTCCAACCCTCTTCAACCCCCCCCCCCCACTACTCATACTTGCACCAGCCCACCTTTCTGCCAATAGTTGCTTATATCTCACCCGAACTTCCTTCTCCCTTAGTTTATACACTTTCACCTCCCTCTTACTTGTTGTTGCCATTTTCCTCTTGTCCCATCTACCTCTTACTTTAAATGTAGCTACAACTAAATAATGATCTGATATCTCAGTTGCCCCTCTATAAACATGTACATCCTGGAGCCTACCCATCAACCTTTTATCCATCAATACATAATCTTAACAAACTACTTTCATTATGTGCTGTATCATAACTTGTATATTTATTTATCCTCTTTTCATTAAAATATGTATTACCTATTACCAAACCTCTTTCTACACATTGCTCAATTAAAGGCTCTCCATTTTCATTTACCCCTGGTACCCCAAATTTACCTACTACTTCCTCAACAACATTTTTACCCACTTCAGCATTGAAATTCCCAACCACAAATACTCTCACACTTGGTTCAAAACTTCCCATGCATTCATTCAACATTTCCCAAAATCTCTCTTCTCTACACTTCTCTCTTCTCCAGGTGCATATATGCTTACTATAACCCACATTTCACATCCAACCTTCATTTTACTCCACGTAATCCTTGAATTAATACGTTTATACTCCCTCTTTTCCTGCCATAGCTTATCCTTCAACATTATTGCTACTCCTTCTTTTGAAACCCCTGACCTAATCCCATTTATTCCTTTCCACTGAAACCCTCCCACCCCCTTCAGCTTTGTGTCACTTAAAGCCAGGACATCCAGTTTCTTCTCATTCATAACATCCACAATCATTTCTTTCTTATCATTCGCACAACATCCACGCACATTCAGACATCCCACTTTGACAATTTTCTTCTTATTCTTTTTAGTAATTATTACAGGAAAAGGTGTTACTAGCCTATTGTTCCCTGTTGGGTATATGCATTTATTTTCAGTTTATAGTTGACTATTAGATGCAGGAATTTTCCATTTTCTTTCTGTACTGTTTGAGTATCATTGATTCTGATGTATACCTTTGGACACAGTTTATTCCCAAAACATACTTAAAATGTTTTTCAATATTGAGGGTGAGCTTGTTGGTAATCATCCATGTGAGGGCCTTTTCAAGTTCATTATTTGCTATTGTGTTTATTGACACAGGATCTGAACCTGATATTAAAAAAAGGTTGTGTCATCAGCAAAGAGTATGGGTTTGCTTGATAACATAGGTAGGTCATTGATATAAATGAGAAAAAGAAGAGGTTTCAGAATGATACCTTGAGGGGACATTTAGGACATTTAGGTTTGGGTACTGGATGAAGTGTTGTTTTTGGATACATGTTGTCTGTTACAGAGGTAGGGTTAAAAATACATGTAACTGGGTTCTCTTAGTTCTATAGTGATTAAACTTGAGCAGGAATCCACTGTGATCAACTATCAAAAACCATTTACAGATCAATGAAAACTCCAACAGGATCACTCGATTCTGTCAAGTGCTGAATAAACTGTGTTGAGCATTCTTATTTTTGCATCGTTATTTCTTTTTCTGTGCAAACTCAAAATGACAAGGAATAAGTGTATTGTACATGGTTAGTAGGTGTACAGGTGCTGGTGGATTTGTTTCTCAAATAATTTTCATAGTATTGGAAGAGAAGAGATTGGTCTGTAGTTATTAACGTCAGTTGATTCAACACTTGTGAATGGATGTTGTCCTGTTTCGCCTAAGCAGGACTGGGAAGGTCTGTTCCTCAAATGATTTGTTGAAAAGTAATGCAATAATTGGAGATAATATGTATGCAGATTGTTTTTTATATTACTGATGGTTTCTCATTTCTGCAGAAGTAGTACAGTATAAGCCAGGTAGAAATACAGTAATTAGGATAATTGCCTATTGGCAGTTTGGAGGTATATGTTGTGTATCTTTATACGTATATACTTCTAAACTGTTGTATTCTGAGCACCTCTGCAAAAACAGTGATTATGTGTGAGTGAGGTGAAAGTGTTGAATGATGATGAAAGTATTTTTCTTTTGAGGAATTTTCTTTCTTTTTTGGGTCACCCTGCCTCGGTGGGAGGCGACCGACTTGTTAAAAAAAAAAATTGCCTATCAGAGAGCCAACTACTGATGTTGGTTTGAGCTTTAGGAATGTTATCTGCAAGATTAGTTCTTACTGTAGCAAAGATGTTATTAATTTTGTTCACATTATCATTAGCTGAGAGGGAAGGGAGTTTCATTTGTTTCTTGAAAGATCTTTTTTTTTTATACTAGAATTTGGAGGAGTTCTCCATGTTTGTTTTACATCTTTGGAAATAATTTAATGTAGCAGACTACTAATTTTGTTCAGATTTTCTGAAAATACTTGTGAGGGTTGCAGAATCCTGTATCTTCACCACTTTGATGTTCATTTTCTATGGGTCTTGTTAATAATAATAATAATTACTCTTACTCACCCAGAAGACAGCAGTGATCCTGATGTGGGCCATGGCAGCAGTGACCCTGACGTGGGTCGTGACAGCTCACACTGCACCACCTCCACTACTGACACACTTTAGGGACGCAACATTAATATACCCCATACCACAATGTATAAAGCAAAGTTAGAACATTCCATGCTACACACACAAATATGGGTGTACCCAGTTATCAAAATCACTTTTATGGCCTTTGAGCATAGGGATAAAAATTGTATAGTATTTTTATTAATATTTCCTCCCTTCTTGCTTTCACTCCTTAATACCATCCTCAGTGTGTTTCCTTATATGGTTGTGTTGATGCTTGTGAGGCAGATGCAGGAGATAACATCTCATACCAGCATCAGGAAGTCAGTGGGATATCTGTAATATGTATATATTAAGAATAAGAATAATGCTGGTACAGGAAAAGACTAAGATTATAATCGCAAACTCTGACACAAAAATATATAGTAATTATTAACACAGTTCTTTTTATAAAGCTCCTCTCTTTGTGGTACAATTTTTCATAAATGGAATTGGGAAAAATGGCATTGAAAATTTAATAGCACATACTGTGAAGGCCTTTTTTAGCTCTAATTTTTTTTAGCTCTAATTTTTTTTGGTGGTATTATGTGACCTTGGTGGTATAGCGTAGTTTTGATTATAATAATAATAATAATAATTGTAATACTTTAGCTCTTAAATTTGACTGTAATAATAATACGAAAGGCTGGAGGCAGTGGAGATGTCATATCTGAGGGCAATGTGTTGTGTGAATATAATGCAGAAAATTCGTAGTTTGGAAGTTAGGAGGAGGTGCAGGATTGCCCAAACTGTTGTCCAGAGGGCTGAGGAAGGGTTGTTGAGGTGGTTCCGACATGTAGAGAGAACGGAGCGAAACAGAATGACTTCAAGAGTGTATCAGTCTGTAGTGGAAGGAAGGCGGGGTAGGGGTCGGCCTAGGAAAGGTTGTAGGGAGGGGGTAAAGGAGGTTTTGTGTGCGAGGGGCTTGGACTTCAAGCGGGCATGTGTGAGCGTGTTTGATAGGAGTGAATGGAGACAAATGGTTTTTAATACTTGACGTGCTGTTGGAGTGTGAGCAAAGTAACATTTATGAAGGGATTCAGGGAAACCAGCAGGCCGGACTTGAGTCCTGGAGATGGGAAGTACAGTGCCTGCACTCTGAAGGAGGGGTGTTAATGTTGCAGTTTAAAAACTGTAGTGTAAAGCACCCTTCTGGCAAGACAGTGATGGAGTGAATGATGGTGAAAGTTTTTCTTTTTCGGGACAGCATGCCTTGGTGGGAATCGGCCAGTGTGTTAATAATAAAAAAAAATTCAGTCGCATTAGCAAAAAAATTCACTATAAAGAGGAGCTTCTGGGGAGACCAGAATCAACTAGTACTGCATGACCCATATGGGTTTAATGCATTTTGTGTGATGCTGTATATGTTATAGCCTTTCAAGGGGATGCCTTGATGACTAAGGGGGTTCTCCCAACACGGAAGGTTCCTTGATACTGGTCAAGGGTTCTTGATCACAAGGTGGTGCCAGGTGTGTGTGCAAGGTGATGTCAGGTGAGATACAAGAATTCCTTCCTCTTAATGATTCACTGAATCACCTGCTCTCTCTCTCTCCTCTCTCTCCTCTCTCTCTCTCCTCTCTCTCTCTCTCTCTCTCTCCTCTCTCTCCTCCCCTTTCTCTCTCTCCTCTCTCTCTCTCTCTCCTCTCTCTCTCCTCTCTCTCTCTCTCCCCTCTCTCTCTCTCTCTCTCTCTCTCTCTCTCTCTCTCTCTCTCTCTCTCTCTCTCTCTCTCTCTCTCTCTCTCTCTCTCTCTCTCTCTCTCTCTCTTCATACAGGGTTTGACAAGGTTAAGGATCCCTAGCTTTATTGACAAGCTATTTACAGGTTAAGGATTCCTAACTTTATTGACAAGCTAAGAGCTGTTACATACATCAGCTCATTTGAAAGCATTTTTATTGTTATGAGACATTCAAGTAGGGAACAGGATGAAGTTGGAGCCATCTGTGGGCCAGCATTTTCATTTGATCAACTGACTTTATCTCGTTGACATCATTATGCTGTACGAATGTGTTTCATACTCGAGTCATCCTGGGGATAAATGATCTCAGATGAAGTGATGTTCTGGAGGAGGGTACAGCCAGAGTGAAGTTGCTGCTTTCTGCCCGTCTTGTGGTATAGAAGCTTGCTTCACGCTGTCCTCGAAATGGATCCAAGTGTGGTACTTCGACAATATTGGCCTTGTACATAACAGTAAGGCCACCCACATTCCTCTTGTGTTGAAGGCACTGCTGAAATGACAGATCTATTCAGGATTGGTCCAGGCGAGGGATGAGACATCTTGCTCTGTTCTCTACTCTGTCAAGCAGATGAGGGGGGGGGCAGGGAAACTAAGAAAGTGGAGCATACTCAAGGTGTGAGCTTACTTGTGCCTCGTACAGAATCTTGCAATTACTATCAAGCAGATGCGAGAAACGGCGAAGTGCTGTAAGCTTCCTGGCTGCAGTGTTTGTAAGATTTACAAAGTGGTTCTTCATGGTCAGTTTGAAGTCAAATTTCACCCCAAGGATATCAACTTTTTCTCCAGGTCCCAACACCCTCCCATTCATCCTTACTACTGCACCGGCATTACCATCGTGGTGCCTAGAGACCATCATCATTTGGGTTTTCTCAGGTGCAAATGTTACTTGCCATCTATTTCCCAAAGCTGATATAGCTCTTAGCTGGTGATTGATGTAGCTTAGAGCAGCTGGCATTTCTTCTCTTGGATAAGTGAATGTCAGTGTACAGTCGTCTGCATATGCATGGGATTCTGGGATGAGATGAAGAAGGTCATTGAAGTAGACATTCCATAACAATGGTCCCAGCACACTTCCTTATGGAACGCTTGCCCCAGTAGGATGTCTTGCTGATTCCGTTCCATTGAGAACTACACTTAGAGATCTACCATGAAGGTAGTCACTGAGGAGACATAGCGTAGAGTCTGCAATTCCCAGTGCTTGAAGTTTTGCTAAGAGGCCCTGGTGCCACACCCGGTCGAGAGCACCAGCAATGTCCAGTGCTACCACACAGCTGACTTTGGATTTATCCAGTGACTGGTGCCACTTTGTGGAGAGGTTTAACAACAGATCAGTAGCAGAGTAACCTTTCCTGAAGCCATATTGATGGTCACAAAGTAGAGTGGTAGTCAAAAAACTGTCATTGTAGTTGCTAATCTCTCTCTCTCTCTCTCTCTCTCTCTCTCTCTCTCTCTCTCTCTCTCTCTCTCTCTCTCTCTCTCTCTCTCTCTCTCTCTCTCTCTCTCTCTCTCTCTCTCTCTCCCCTCTCTTTCCCTCTCTCTCTCTCTCTCTGCACGTGTATGTGTACACTCACCTACACGTCGAGTCTACACCCTCGTCTCAAATCTCCAGTCATCATGCAATACACTTATGACTGATGTATATACACTGAGCGATACACACAACTATATGTATTATATATATATTTATTTATTATATATATATAAAATATAATAATATATATATATAAAAATATATATATATATATATATAAATAATAATATATAATATATACACACACTGATCCACACCACTGAGTGCATATCCGCTGAGAGATACACATTTAGTAAGTTTATTCAGGTATACACAAATACAGTTACATAGATTATCATACATAGCAGCATATGTGGAGAGAACCTGGGATAACCCAAAAAAGTCAGAGTGACTATTTCCATTGGGGTCCTTTACTTATTTCCATTGGGGTCCTTTACTTATTTCCATTGGGGTCCTTTACTTATTTCCATTGGGGTCCTTTCTGGACCCCAATGGGTGTATTATAATCTTGCATCATGATAATGTTAATTCTCCTCTGTATCTCTGTATCATCCTCACTATAATTCATTTCTGTATGTTCTATATCGTGACTGTTTCTCCTCTCAATCTATCTTCCACCTCAGGGTCTAGTAAATATTAATTTCTAGCAAACATTCCAAGCTTAATAACATGTATGTGTGTGAATATATTCCGGTGTATGTATGAAAATATACTGGTGTGTGTATGTGTGTGTATATATATATATAATATATATATATATATATATAAAATATATATATATATATATATATATATATATATATATATTTTATAAATGTCGTGCTGAATAGGTAAAACTTGTGATTTTGGCTTAAATAGCAACGCTTTTCTTGCCGAATAAAGCAAGCGAAAATTTGTGTATGTATTAATTTCGCAAAAATCATTCTGAACCTAACGAAAAAATATATTTAATTGTGTTTGTTTATTACTAAATTGCTGTAATCTTATCTAAAATATATTTAGTTGGATTAAGCTAAATTAAATTGCGCTTGTTATAATAAGGTTAGGTAAGTTTTCTAAGGCTCTTTTGGTACAAAATGATTAATTTTTACATTAACGTAAATTAAAACAATAAATCTTTAAACGTATAAGAGAGTTTTAGAAAGGGCTTAATTTTAAATGAGTTCTTGCTAAATGACCAATTTTACCTATTCGGCACTACATGTATATATATGTATACACATACACACACACACACATACATATATAATGGTACTAAAGAAATCCGGAGCATCAGTGACCAGCTGTCATCCAACTCGGTGTTGCACTTAAAAAAATGATACACTTGAGAAGATGTCATGTTTATATATTGAAGGAATATGTTGTGTTTTAAAGTTTCTTGGGGAAAAATGTTGAAGGTCGTGTGTGAGGCAGCAGGTGACACCATCTTATTGTTTAATAACACCATGTTAAGATGTACCCAGTGTCTGCTGCTGTGTACTTACCTAGTGTGTTCTTAACTAGTGAGTACTCAATGTGTACTCAGCTAGTGTGTACCCATCTAGTATGTACTCAGTGTGTGCTTAGCTAGTGTGTACTCACCTAGTATGTACTCACTGTTTACTCACCTAGTATATTCCGAACTAGTTGGCGCTGTATAGCCCTTGTGGCTTAGCGCTTCTTTTTAATTATAATAATAATCTGAACTAGTTGTACTCAGTATGTACTCAACCAGTGATACCTCTACGGTACTATGCAGTTTTGGATGCACTTGTTCCGGGGGTCAACGCCCCCGCGGCCCGGTCTGTGACCAGGCCTCGCGGTGGATCAGGGCCTGATCAACCAGGCTGTTACTGCTGGCCGCACGCGTCCCGACGTACGAACCACAACCAGGCTGGTCAGGTACTGACTAAGTGCCTGTCCAACGCCTACTTGAACACATCCAGGGGTCTATTGGTAGAAACAGAAATACAAATAGCTAGAGCTTCATTTAAGGAGGTTATTAATAGAATAT